CGCAATAAGTTCTCGATGTGTTTGAAAGTAAATTTAACATTTCTCAAATAAAAACTATTCACAAAAATATAAAAAATGCCACCCCCCTGCAATTTGTATAATTCATTGGTCATCGTTGTTCATCCCATACCGTCCCCCCAGCTACTGATGTAATAATTCATTGGTCACAATGGTGTCACCCTTCCCCTCCACCCTGGCAAATGGTATAATTCATTGGTTACGTATATATTAGAGCGTCCTGGTATAGCCTACTTCTACTGTATCCCATATTATATAGATATTCCCACACACTAATTTCATGTTCTTTGAAACTTTTTGACTTTAATGCAATATTTCTTTTTCTCCCTTCTAAATATTCACTCTGTATTCGTCTATGAAAACGTTTTTCAGACCCCCTGTTAAGTTTTACGACCACTCTCCCCCCCCCCTCCCCCAGTGTCTTACCCCATCGACCAGTATCATATTCTGTTGTACCGACCGAGCCAAGCAACGGCCCAGACAACAGGTAGCCAGGCAGTTGCGCGGGTGTTCACACCTTGGGTTGCGTAATACCTGATCCGGGTTAAACTCTACAGAATTGAAAATTTAAACTCAACTCGATTAAAACCCATGACGCTTCCCCAGACACCCCCAGACAACTTATTAATGTGACGCTTTGTTTCATAGTATCCGATACTTATTACCCCACGCGTGAATTCAATACATGAACTGATTTTAAAAAATTTAAAATCCAGATTTCAGACGTGAGGGATCGATTACAGCCGAGATAATAGCACTAATCCTCTGAACGCTGGTATTGATTTTGTGGTAGTAGTTGAATGACGTCTATAGGTAGGGTAGAGCCTATCTTATATTCTTGTAACCCTGAGGTCAAATAGCAGGGGAGATCACTCGGTCAGGCATGACGGGAAGTCAGGGGAATAAATTATGTCGTTGGAAATTTAAAACACTGACTAAGCGGTTACGTAGTTGTGTTCCTAATTAAGCATAATTGGTGCGATGATTATTTTATTTCGCTTGAAGTTTGTTTAGAGGGGTTTTTTTTTTGGTGTCCTAAAACTAGATAGTTATTCCGTTTTTGTAGGAAGGAAGGGGGAGAGGGACTGACCCTGCTTGCACGTGAGAAAGCGAGGTGGGGTGGTGGAGTTCCTGACCTAGTTGACCAGTGACCTAATCTCCGGTTGTAAATTAGCATAACAAAGATGTCCTGTACAAAGACCTTCGAGTTTTTTTTTTTTTTTTAAATTGTGATTTGTGCCATTATTAGCATATTAACATCTTCTTTGTGACGACAATGTTCAATCAAAGGTTGAACTTTGGAGCCCGTTATACGATTTGGAGCCCGTTATGCGGTTAATGTTCAACTGTTGAACCTTGGAACCTGTTATACCGTTAATGGTCAACAGTATAACCTTGGAACAGGTTGCAATGTTGAACGGTTGAACCTTGGAACCGTTAGGTAATGTTGAACGGTTGAACCCTGGTTACACCTTTAGATATGTTTCAGCGACGTATTACCACTGCGTCGCCGACCACATGCTTTAGAGTGAACCAACAAACACAGGGTTTGTTGAGTTTGTTGTTTTATAAAGTTCAAATCTTAACCTCAGGAAGAGCCTAAACTCGTAGAGACAGAACAGTTACGACACTCGGGCCCCGACCCCACATCGGCATGAAATTCAAATCTTAACCTCAGGAAGAGCCAAAACTCGTAGAGACAGAACAGTTAAGACACTCAGGCCCCGACCCCACATCGGCATGAATTTCAAATCTTAACCTCAGGAAGTGCCAAAACTCGTAGAGACAGAACAGTTAAGACACTCGGGCCCCGACCCCACATCGGCATGAATTTCAAATCTTAACCTCAGGAAGTACCAAAACTCGTAGAGACAGACCCGGCATAGCTCCATCCTAAATGTCAAGATGCCCTCTGTCTCATCACCTGGGCTGCTGTGACCGGTGGACCCACTTATTAGGCCAACCTGTTACTTTCTTAGACTTTCTATTTTATTATGTACATTCTGATTTCGATTGTTAGTGGCAGACGGCTGGGTCCCGTAACTGTTCAATCAGTGGTTATTTATAGCTCTGTTAAACTTTGTTATGACACCCTGTTGGTCCCTGGTTACCTCATCCTGGTCCGCCGCTGATATGTTAGTGGTCCACCGCTGATATGTTAGTGGTCCGCCGCTGATATGTTAGTGGTCCGCCGGTGATAGATGTACGAGTTTGTGGCCCGCCGCTGTAGATGTACAAGTTTGTGACCCGCCGCTGTAGATGTACAAGTTTGTGGCCCGCCGCTGTAGGTGTAGGAGTTTGTGGCCCGCCGCTGTAGGTGTAGGAGTTTGTGGCCCGCCTCTGTAGATGTAGATGTGCGAGTTTGTGGTCCGCCGCTGTAGATGTACGAGTTTGTGGCCCGCCGCTGTAGATGTACGAGTTTGTGGCCCGCCGCTGTAGATGTACGAGTGTGTGGCCCGCCGCTGTAGGTGTACGAGTTTGTGGCCCGCCGCTGTAGATGTAGATCTACGAGTTTGTGGCCCGCCCCTGTAGATGTACGAGTTTGTGGCCCGCCGCTGTAGATGTACGAGTGTGTGGCCCGCCACTGTAGGTGTAGATGTACGAGTTTGTGGCCCGCCCCTGTAGATGTAGATGTGCGAGTTTGTGGTCCGCCGCTGTAGATGTAGATGTGCGAGTTTGTGGTCCGCCGCTGTAGATGTACGAGTTTGTGGCCCGCCGCTGTAGATGTACGAGTTAGTGGCCCGCCGCTGTAGATGTACGAGTTTGTGGTCCGCCGCTGTAGATGTACGAGTTTGTGGCCCGCCGCTGTAGATGTACGAGTGTGTGGCCCGCCGCTGTAGATGTAGATGTGCGAGTTTGTGGCCCGCCACTGTAGATGTACGAGTGTGTGGCCCGCCACTGTAGATGTACGAGTTTGTGGCCCGCCGCTGTAGATGTACGAGTTTGTGGCCCGCCGCTGTAGATGTACGAGTTTGTGGCCCGCCGCTGTAGATGTACGAGTTTGTGGCCCGCCGCTGTAGATGTACGAGTTTGTGGTCCGCCGCTGTAGATGTACGAGTTTGTGGCCCGCCACTGTAGATGTACGAGTTTGTGGTCCCCTGCTGACAAATGTACGAGTTAGTGACCTTTTCATTGCACTAGCCATCCCTAGACCTTATCGGAGATTGTACCAATTACCGAGAGCTTAATGCAGATAACTGGGCCACATTGTTTTTTTCCCGTTTATTTTTTTTTATCTCTTTGTAGTACGTTGAGACCAGTTAGAGTTCACCTGTCATACACTGAAGTAGTAGCGTCAGCGAAAGAGACAAACTATCATTTTTACTTTCTCGTATATACGAAGTATAGAGAAAGTCTTGTAATCGTGCAAAAAAAAAATTGAGATTTTTACAAATCTCGACGTTTCACACCTCACTGATACGGAAAAACATAATTTTGCAATCTTGTCCGTATGTCTGTGTGTCTGTCTGTCTGTCTGTCTGTCTGTCCGTGTGTAAACACGATAACTTGAGTACCGTTACAGCTAGGTTGATGAAATTTCATATATAAGTATTTTATCAAAATCGTAGATCCGTATCAACTTTTGAGCGATTTCCGATAACCGGAAGTGGTACTTTTCCCACTTTGAATTTTTCAAAAGCCTATAACTTGAGTACTATTTCAGATAGATAAATGAAATTTTACGTGTAAGTAAAAGATCTAATTCTCTACCTTCTATTAAATTTTGAGTCATTTCCGTTGACTGTAAGTAGTACTTTACGCTACTTCCGATTTCTCAAAAAACTAATGTAAATTTTAAAAGTAATAATAATATTGCGCACCATTATGCGCTTTTTTATTTGGCGTTCACTTGGTGTGCAATTAATTTGTCTACGAGATTTTATTCTATTTTTAAAACTTTTAAGTATTTAAAATGGATTAAAAATCATGTCTATAGCCCGAGTTCCCATCCCCTGTTATTTTATATAAGAATATTCGAGAAAGTTTAGGGGAGATCACTCCCGGTTTATTTTAAGTCACTGTTATAAATGTGTACGTAAAAAAGAATGAGTGTTCGGTGTCTTGCAATGCTGTAAGTCCTATAGTATAAGAATTAGTTTTTGAATCTCTACGTCAGATTATTTTCTCGTGTCGTTTGCAACATAAGCTTCTGTCTGTTGAGTGAAGTGTTTTTTGTTGAAGGCTTTTAGTATGGTTGGAGTCCTTTTACTTTGCTGGAGTCAGTTTGTCTTTATGTGAAGTAAGTTTAGGCCTTTCCCCTCATGCATCCTTTTTTTCAATTCAACTTTTTTTTCTGCTAGAACCGATCTCGTAATCTTTGACAGTAATGCGTTGTTGTTTTTTTTAAATTAAAAAAATGTAAGGTTGTTAATCTGTGGTGATCAAACACGTGTTACAAAAAAGTCATCCTTGACAATATTGGTTGGCATTATTTTTTTTTTAAATTTAGAACAGTTGTTTGTACAGTTATAAATTATGGGTCTTGTTGAGTTTTACGATAGTGGAACATTTCCTTAAAATAAATATTTTTCCTACATCCTAAGACTAAGTATTAATTTAAAAAATATTCTCCTGTGATCTGTAGATATCCTTATCGATCTTTATTATCAATATAGAACCTACACTAATACCTAAACAACTTAATCAATCTAAAACTGAAAAAAATAGATAATATTATATACCTAAGCTAAACACAAAACATAGAAGAGGTAATAGCGAAACTATTTTTAATCTAGATTCTAGTACTGTTTTTTAGATCTACCCAAACACTCCATTAAGTGTTAACCAATGAATGACGTTGTTAGATGCCGTGTGCTGAAGTGCGCTGTTCATAGCACGAGTTATTTAACGCGTAGTTTACTTGTGTATATTTTAACGTGGCTTAATATCAAATACGTTTCCGCCGGTTCTTTCGTATACTTTACTGATTAAAAATTTAAAATCTAACTTATCGTTATTTTTTGTGTTTTCTTCTTACCTAGGCTACTTAAGTGAAATGTGAAATGTCATATTGACATTTATTTCGTCGACATATTTCTTTCGTGGACATATTTCTAGTCATTGTGAATAGACAATTGAATAATAAATACAGAGTAGTCGAACTTTAATTTTTTAGCTGGGTTATCTAACTTTGACAGTTCTTGCTGGGCTGTCCAACTCGAGCACACAACACCCTTAGAACAACGTGTCAACCGTTTCTGTGATAGTTTACCTCTGATATTCTAACACCCTCCGCCATGGTCACCTCCACGTTGGCGTCGTTCGCCTACAACGACCTGCAGCTGAACATGCTGACGGTCCTGCTGGTGGCCGTGTTCCTGGGCGGGATGAGGACATCCCGGCGCGCCATGCTCCGCTTCCTCAACTTCTCCGCCTTCGAGATCTGGGGTAAGATGTGGCTCTACTCCCCGCACCGCTACATCTGGGCGGGGGTCAAGAAGGCGCTTCCGCCTGTCGTGTCCAGGAGAGTCCGCTGGGTGGTCAAGGTGTCCAGTAAGGTGGTGCTGGGCAGGTCGCCGTTGAAGAAGTATGTCTTCTACCGGTATAAGCACACGCACCACATACATCGCAGTCGCCATCTTAACAATACGGTAAGTTGGCTGTAGACATAACTCTGTAATGTATGGTAAGCTTATCGTGTATTTTCTCAAACTTCTGTATGTAATTTTTTTCAAGTGTTCACTTTTCACCATGCATGCGACAGCTGCTATGGGTGCTGATTTTATTTTATTCGGAGATTCTACTTGCTTTTTGTGGTGAAAAGATTTACAATGTTAGTTCATGATTGTGTAAGTAATACTCCCAGATGCCATGAAGTGGAGTTGACCATTCGACTAGTGCACATGAAGGGATTGTGTGGTTTGCAATCTGCTCAGCCTCTGTATATTTTCTGACTCGTCCTATCGCAGCTGTCGAAGATTCCAGCTCGGTCATCGAACTCGAGACTTTCGGGTTAGCAGTCGAGTGCTCTACCACACGATGAAACAGCTGCTTGTCTTTTTGTGTTTATATTTATTATTCATAATAATTTATTTTAAAGTATTCGTATATTTATTTTGGCCTAATCATCAGTGTTGCTACAATACATGAACGGCTTTATAGTATTGTCTTTAAAAAACGAGTGGGGCACTGCCTCCCTTACCCCCCCCCCCTCCACATAGCAAGCCCATCGCCTCCCAACCCTCACTCCCCAACGAAATAGATCAATATATAATTTATATTGAAAATTTTTACTTGAATGGGATTCGAACCCACGCCTGTCTGTTGTGTAATCAGCACCGTGCCACAGTGACCGTATGACGGCGATTACATTAATTACAAACCTTATGATGTAATATACTAAGTAGAATACTGCTTCAGTGTGGCCTACTGAACGGCTAAATATTGCATTATTACATTGGTAATTTGCTCCCAAATTTTCCCCGGGGCAGTTTCAGTAGGTCAAAGTCTGCCGCTTTTACAGTTATTTATGCAGAAATCTGCAGCATTTATCTGCACAAGTACGCTCCATCGGTCCTGTGTTCAGTGCGTGTGTGCTGAATTTATAATCCATCTTTCTTACAGTTCAATTTAACCTCGCATTTCGTTACTTCCTTTTATAAACAAATGTGTAGCCATTTAATTAGTTTCATCCCTTACTTACATTTAATTAGTTTACTCACTCAAGGAGACTTGACAGTGTCCGTTTTATAAGTGTTCTCCTTTCGGAATTTTTTTTTTCATTTATCTTTGGACAACGATTTGTTTTTGCGCGTTCTTATTAATCTTAAGCAAGTTATCTCAAACATCAGTAATTAACTAACTCTGCGCCCTTCAAGTTTGTTTGTTTCAAAATCAGGTCGAAAACATTAAACCAACAATATGTGTACTTAAATATGCTTTAATAAAACCTTAAGCGTTTAGTATTTGTACATAAAATCCAGTCAAGTAAATGTTATTAAACATTGTATCTGACAGTCAGGGAACAAGGGGGATAACAATAACAAACCTCGTGGAAACAGCTTTCAGTCACCAGTTCTGCTTGTGACCAATCGGAGCGCAGATTCCTAGGTCACGCTGGAAAGGTCATGTTTGATGATCGTATCGCGACTTTTTTCAACCCTCTCTAGTTAGCCTAGGCTATTTCCCACAGTACAATGTTCACTATAGGCCCTCGCTGACCGTCTCGGCCGACAGAGCACTAGGAAACGTTTCTATCAGTACTGTGTTCTCAGTGCAGTCCCCTACCACCACACGAGTACACACTGTTGGTGTCTGTTTTTTCTTACTTGGCCAGTCATTTGGATTTTGAGTTGTGCGGCTTTTTCCGTTTCTTCGGGTTTGTGAATCGGGAATAAAAAAGTTTGTGCTAATTAATTCTGTTTAACAAAAAAAGCTTCGCAAGTGTGGCCCGGTTAATTGCTAATAATTAGGCGTAATTATGTATAAACAGTTGTTTCTGATCAGTGATTCCCCCCCCCCCTCCCTTAATGCAGTTGTATTTCTCGGTTACTGACACACGTGACAGTGGTGTGACGCCGGCAGATGTTGTTTATTTTATTTATAGGCTAGACTGTTGTGTTAAATGTGGTCACGTTATTCAAGTGTTTGCATGTAGCCTAGTTGTGTTCCCTCCGCTACCGTTTTGCTGTATCAGCAGGTTCCGCATGACTTGGTGTTGTTCTGTGACCTAATTTAATTTACCCACGTACACGAGGTGACCCAGTTAACTCTCCATCGTGAAACTAATTGCTGTCTTGTTGCCGTCTGCTTCTTTTTGGGCACACATTACATAGCGGTCTTGGCGCCCTTTTTGATTCCATGTGGGTCCTTAATGCATGTTTTAACCATTTAAACAAATGTATATAAACCACCTAAAATAAGATATTTGAACTACCTAAAGTATTTTAACTACCTAAAGATAATTTAACCACATAAGACAAGTTAAACAGATATTTATATTTAGAAGATGTGTTAACAGCATCCCGTTCGCCTGACATGGAGTGATTTCTACTATCTTATCTCCCCTTTTGTTATCGGCTGTGTTTAGTTCCCCTTTCAGACCTAGCTATCCATAAGTAAGATCTACAATAAAGTAGAGTTCAAGTTTGTCGAGCTCGGCATACGAAGGGATGATTTGTTCATCCCCAGCGCTATCACCAGCCGCCCCTAGTTTCCCTAACGAGAGTCAGTCACCCATCAGTGCTGGGTGGACTCAAGGACGTGCTGCAGACACGTAGTCATGAGTCCGGTCATTGAATGTAGTCATCTTTAAATTAACTTTTATTATCACTAATTAAATATCTAATTAGATTGAAACTGTCAGACTTTCTTGGTATGTCGTTGGAGAGGCCCACGTACTCCCCCGCAAACGGAAAATGTGACTTAAGAAATAGGTTGTAAAACAGGGGTAAGAGCTTGCTTAAATGACGTCACGCTGGTTATACGACTTTTACCGTCACCACTCTTGTCTTGTCATACTTTATCCGCTAAAATGACGTCACAGGGCTTCTATTCATCCCCTTAAAATTACCCTAATTCAAACGCAAATTAGAAGATGTATATTTTTTCATATTTGCTAAATGTGTATTATTTTATTATACTTGTACTTGTAGCATTGAAGTAAAAAAAAATGTTCTAGTTTTCCCAATGATTAAATTAAAAATGTCGATATAGTTCAGACATTTTTCCGGTGGTGTAAAACTTTCAGAGGGGGGGGGGGGGGGTGAGACACTGGTCATTTAAGGGAGGTTGTGGTGGTATGCTATGGGATGTGCCCCCACCCCCTTCACCCCCCCCTAGTGTATTCCAGCTTCCTAGCCCATGTTTACTTTTCACTCATTGTTGATATATACAATTTAGTGCTTGTGTCTAGTTAATTGGACGAGCGTGTTTTTTGTTAATGCTTCACAGTCCGCTTGTTTTCATTTAAAATTAAATATCATAGGCCTACTTAACTAATAGGGTCAAGGTTCAAGTGGTAAAGATAAAACTGACTTTCACTTGTAAATGTGATAACGGAGTGCTTTGTTTTTAGTCGTTTTCTTAGTCGAAGTACATGAGATCTAGGTCCAGTGGCTTAAATATGTGATGACCCCTTTTTATTGATACCACCACACTGCAGTATATTAGTCAAATGCCAACAAATGTGCCGAGACCACAGCTTCGTTGTAGGCTACTATGCTTCGCGATAGTCCTCAACGCCCCTAACCCCCCCCCCCCCCCCCACCTCCTTAGTTTAGATCTTGTCTTGTTTAGCCTTGGAGTGGAGTCAAAAGTTCGCACTGTCCATCATCCCATCAGCTGATCAGTGACCTGTTTTTGTTTTTTAAAGCTCCAACAGCTGCAGAGAACAGTCACGTATTCTTAACCAATTACTTATCGATCTACATAAGTATTAGTATTAGGTCTAGAAATCTAGATCTAATCATAGAAATGTTCTTTATTTTTCATTATTTAACTAGTTTAGATTTTTTAAGTTGATATTCTACTAATTCTAGCTGGCCTTCGTCATTTAGTTGCTCAACTGAAAGTGAAAAACTAGGCCTATCTGATCAACCAGCACCGGAAGTGTTTAAATTTTAGCTTTCTTGTGTTAAAGTTTATTTTTGTGTAAGTAGTTTTATGCCCACGAAAAACTTGAAAAGAATACGGTACCGGGCAATCTAGTTATTTTCTCATTTAGTCTGCTTGATTAAAAATGGAACCGAGAGAAAAATACACAAAACAATGGATTCATATTTTGACGCGATGGAGAAAAAAGAAATCATCGGAACAAAGACGAGTTCGAATAAGAAAATCTAGAAAACAGAAACTGCTGATGTGGTGGAGGCTTGTCTCCTTCTCTGCACTGATGCAGGTTTTGCACGGAGCTCGCAAGGACAAGAAAAATAGCACCGTACGTGATGACAGGAGGCAGTAAGCAAATGTCATTGTTTTAGTGACTTATGATAATGGCTCATAAAATGTTCAATAACCTTTATTGTACCTTGTTATTTATATGAAATTAAAAAAAAAAAACTGGTCAAGTTTTAGATCTAGATCTAGATTCTAGAATCTAGATCTAGTTTCAAAAAGTTTGCTTTACTCAGCTTTAGTCCAGATGTATTGATCTGAATAGTTGCTAATCTAACTAGTGCCTGATTTTAACTTCTCCTATTTGGCAGTCAACACAAGTCTTTCACATGTCTTAAAATTTATTACTGCTAGGCCAGGGGTCGGCAACCTGCGGCTCGCGAGCCGCATGCGGCTCTTTTGATATCAAGATGCGGCTCTCCAGCTCCTTGCACAAACACTAATAATCTTAATCAAAAAATAAAATATTTGAAATAAAAAGATGTTAGTGGCTCTTTAAAACCAGGGAAATTTTGAAAATTGTAACTTTTGGCTCTTCCGCTTCAAAAGGTTGCCGACCCCTGTGCTAGGCTAAGTAATAGTAATAGTCTTAAAATTCTAGGCTCAAGGGTATAACTAAGCTAATGAAATTTTTTTTCTTAAATTAATCATCAAATACAAATAATACTAGATCTAGTATAGAGAATGCTCCAATCGCTTAGTAGTAGTAGATCTAGTAGTTTACAATTAATTTCCAAATCAAATATACATTAAAATTTTAAGTTAGTAAATCTGGTGACATCTTTTAGATGCTGTATCTCTATAGAAACTACCAGTTATATACTACCATAAGTAATATTACATGTAACAAAACCAGTAAATTGACTTTTGAAATATCAGTCAAGTAATGAATTATAAAAATTTATTGCAGCTATTTTGGAAAACTAATTGATGTTGGTGGATAGTCCTATGTAGGGAAACAAAATATAAAGTTAACTGCTGAATTTTTTGTTGGCATTAATGAAGAGACTAGACTTACGTCAGTTGGACTCTGGTTAATATTTAGTATAGCTGTTTTCTTGTTGGGCACCATTATCTATAGTTTTCTAACACCTGATTGTTTTTTCTCATGTCAACCAACATGAGACCAATGGTGACTTCTGCTGCTATCAATTTGATGTTGTCCTGGTGTCACACATGGCAGTGAATATTGTTATCTATTGCTGTCTTTGGTTATGTTGCGGTCACAATTAAATTATTTTAGGTGCTAGCACTTTGTTTTCTGTTGCAATCGGTGTTGTGATACTGAATTTTGAGAAGTGTAACACTAACTTTAGTCATTCCTTGTTGAATAAATAGGAAATTTGCTTGAGTCAGAAAACTAATAGTGTCTTCCCCTAAAACAACTCACCCTTATTAATTCTTAATGAATATTTGTGACAAACTACATTAAATAGCAAAATAAACTAACCTAAAAAGTAATTAACATGCTACTGTAAATCTCCCCAAAATACTGAATATTCGCCTACCAATAAAAATAACTACCAATAAACCACAAAATGCTATCAAAAGTAACAAAATCATCAAACTTTAAATATTAATTTTGGCTCCAAATATGCTTGATCTATAATTTTATCATTGCAAAATATAGGTTTTCAACTCTAAACCTACATCTTCTCATTTTGACCACCACTGTACTTGCTGTGAAAAGCTAAAAATATCTCAATAAACAACTGCTAGGCTCATTGTTTGAACAAATTTGTATTTTTTTTTTTCAACAGATAAATTTGTATCGTCGTATGCCACTGAAGACACTTTCTCGACTATGGGGAAAATTCAACCAAATGGAACTTCCAATTTTTTTAAGAAAGCCATTACTAGGTCTCTATATCTGGATGTTTGGATGTAATTTAGAAGAAGCTGAAATTGAAGACCTGAAGCTTTATAGAAATCTAGGAGAATTTTTTAGAAGGCAGCTTAAACCTCATGTCCGTCCTATTGATGATGATCATGTACTGGTAAGTGATGAAACTTTAATAAAGGGCAAATATTTGGTTTTATTAACATAATTACTGTAGTAAAGTGAGCAACTAGCCTCACTTAGATTTTATGTTGGTAAATAGTTTAAAGTATCCACCAAATAAAGGCCTACCAGTGAGAAACACCAGAAGCTAGCGAAAAAGAGAGCATAAGCGAGAATGAACATTTTTAGATTTAATGCTTATATATTCTGCATTAAAATTCATTTTCCAAATGTATTTGTATTGCATGACACTGTATCTCTTATTGTGCAGCATCATAAGCATTAAATACTGAAGAGTGTGTAGATAATGATCTACTTTAATTTGTTGATTGATGGCTAATAGTTTGCTCTATGTTCTTCTACAGACATCCCCAGCTGATGGCAAGATTCTTTACTATGGTCAAGTTAAAAATGGCATCTTGGAACAGGTGAAAGGTGTGACCTATTCACTGCGTGGGTTTCTGGGGCCTCAAACAGCCAGTGGTACATGTGTGGATATACACAATGAATCAGATGAAGAGTTCCAGAAAGATTTATCATTACAGCCTGGTAATGAGCTGCATCATGTTATTATTTATTTGGCACCAGGGGATTACCACAGGTTTCACTCGCCAGCAACTTGGACTGTAGAGCATCGTAGACATTTTCCAGGTCAATACCCTTGCTCTTTTTTTTATTTATTACATTATTTCATTAACAAACTATTAATGCCTAATTTAAGTTATTAATAAAAGATTATCACAATCTTTTACTGTAGATACAGATATTTTTTAGGTTTGTTGTAGAACTGTAGTTACTTCTTTAATTCTAAGAATAAGTAGGTAGATAGTTTAATAGATTACCCATTTTTTATTTCCTATCTTGTTAAATTTATAAAAACTTCTTAAAGAAAAAAACAAATAGTTAACTTCCTTTCAATTTTCTCAGGTGAATTGCTGAGTGTGAACCCTGGCATAGCTCGATGGGTTCAAGGCTTATTTAATTTTAATGAGAGGGCTGTTTATACAGGAAGGTGGGAGCATGGCTTTTTCTCTATGGCTGCTGTTGGAGCAACAAATGTTGGCTCAATAAAGATTTATTGTGATGAGGTTGGTGCTGTAATACTTGAGGGCTTTTAGTAAATATAATGCAACTGATTTTAAAACATTTAAGAATAGGAAATAGAAGACTAAAAATAATTCAATACAGCTATGCTATTTCAATTTTTTAAACTACTTTATAATATTTTATAGGTAGTTATTGCTGCTTTGATTAATGATCTATATACACATCACATATATGTTTTTTCTACCCTTTTAGGAGCTTGAAACAAATACGCGTACAAGACACCCAGAGCATACATATTTTGACAAGAAATTTGCTACCCCAATCACCATTGAAAAAGGTGATATGTTTGGTGAATTCAACTTAGGCTCAACAATAGTTCTTATATTTGAAGCTCCACCCGGATTTAAATTTAAAGTTCACGAGGGTGATAAGATCAAATATGGTCGCCCCCTTGGAACAACACCATAACTATTGATCTATGCTAGTCTATTTTTACAATTTTTGATGAGGTTTTGTATGTTATTTAATGTGGGATGTAGCAGTAACAAATCCTCTTTAGTTTTTAAAACAGTATCAAGAAAAATTGAAATTGTTAAATTTCAAAACTTTCTCATGATTGTAACCACGTATAAGAATAGCTATATTAATAAATTTGTGCTCATTCTGAATTTGTATGTTAACATTGATCAATGAAATATTTGACTTAAACAGATGCAAAAATTAGAATGTACCTACAACAGCCACTTAAAATTCAATTTGTAATTAAGAACATTTATTTTTAAAGTATCTAGATGTACATTAGGGCACATCCCATTATCATTCAAGGGCTAATCCTGGTATCTTTAAGCTGTAATGTTCATAGATTTTTCTTAACTACTGAATACCTACTATTCTGGAATTCATGCCAGATTGCATTGTCATTTTAATGAAAATATAATCTTAATATAAACACTTAAGGCAGTGTTGTTATTTACATTATTTAACACAATGACTTAATAACATCAGAAAAGTGCTGCTAAGTATCTGCACCTTAAATATAAACAAGTATGGACCAACACACTTCTCAGGTTTTCATTTTAAATCCAGAACCTTACTTAAAAAGTCAGCATATGTTTCTAAATATTTTTAGAGCATTTTCTATTTATGTATTGTTAATTACTTCCTGCAATGTCCACTGTGTAAGACATGATGCATAATTGAATTTTAATGTATTTGCATTGTGAAGCTATATCCACTTGTGTTAAAATGTCAAAACTTTGGGTTATTTCTATAGATATTAATAAATGGCCTTTTACATTGATGTTAAATTGTAAATCATCAAGTCCATTTTCTAAGTGTGTAAGGTTGTATAAAACAGAGATGGATGTGATCATTTTGCTATGAAAATTATTTTGTAAATTAGCTGTTTATCTGTTTCTCTGGATTTGTGAATCTGACACTGAGATATTCAAGGTTGGTTTGTATGAGAAAGTGTTCATGATTGTTTACATCTGGCTTATGTGTAAACATTCTGTTGATTAAATGACATCTTTTACTCTGAAGATAAATTGTACAAAAAAAGACCCAACTCATTTTTTTAACTTTCAGTTTCAATAACAGAATTTTTAGATTTGGTTTTTTCAAAGAAGTGCTAGAAATGATGTGTAAAGTGTTTAATTTTTAAGTGTGATAGAACTTAATTCTCAAGTAAATTGAGATTCTGCCACTGGATCTTGTCATCAACTTTATACATCATTATTTTTTCAAGGGGAATAATTTATAGCCTTATCTGTTTGTAGTTTAAAAAAAACATAACCTTTTATTTCATATTCTCTGGAAAAAAAAAATTGTTCAAAGAGAAGAGGTTGGCATTGTAAAGATAAATTACATTTATTGCTTCGTTTAAAGATTGACTGTTTTATATGAATTTTTCATGTTAATTTTTAATAAAAACTATTTTTAAAGAATAAAATGAAATAAAGAGCTTTAAAAACCAGCAAATTGTTTATACTTTTCAATTAGGTATATGGGTAAAGTAAATAATGTTTGATATATAAAAGTAAATACTGAACACACATTACACTATTACAAGTATGATGAAAGCATGAAGTAAAAGCCCTGTGTTATCACATTAATCCTTTATTATTATGGTAGACTTTGTAGAACACATTTAAAAAAAAAAAACATGTATACAGGATAGACAAAATTTCAACTAAGGTTTTGATTGGTAAATAGAATGTAAAAGGTAAAGACTAGAAGAATGTGAGGCTGATAACAAAACCCTTTTATAAAGAATCCACTGGATGGAATGTTACAACCCACTTAAAAATGATATAAAGATACCAACATATCCACAACAACAAAAAAAAACTATCACTGTAACAGAAGATAAAGCATCATACCAGAATTTTCAAATTGTAAATAAAATGTGATCAAACCTAATAGAGTAAAATTAAATAAACGGATCTAAATTATAAGTTTGCTGGTTTTGTTTTTTTACAAGGAGGACAAAAAAATTATTTTTGTATATGTACAAAATTTACCTGACATTGAAAACCACATCACAAGAAATTTAAGTACAACTTGGTTATTTTTCCAAAATAAATTGTATGTGCCCATCTAAAAATCACTAAGTGCAACCAACACCAGTGGTTTTGTAATCATAAACCCTATGTGTAAACATGAATACCCGGTACTACAAACTAGGGTAGCTGAGCCATAGAAATATAAAACAAAACACAGCAGTAGTTAGTCACAAGCCTATCTTTTCCTTTAAAAGGTTACTTAAAACAATTTAAATAAACATTAAATACAAAAATTAAATCTTTCACATTTCTGAAATATTAGAGTTTGTACCCTTTATATATTGTCTTAACATGAATAAAATAAAAAAAATTAAAATAAAAAAAACAGCATTTTAAATGAAAATTTTCTGGAGGTCAATTCCTGCAGCTTAAATATATAAACCTGACATGACCACAAACTGACCTGTAGTGAGTACAGGAGGGCTACTTAATTAAAATACATTATCTATATTTCAATATGTAAATTTGAAATCCTTAATACATATTTCATAACAACCAAAACAATTCTTATAAAAAATGAAACTGCTAACATTTTATATATTTTCTTAAAATGAGATTCACTATTAATGAATTGAAGGTCTGGTATTTTGGCTGGTTCATTTCCTTATTTTTCTTGTAATACATAAAAAAATATATTATTCTGCAGGATTTAAAATCTGCTGGTTAATTAAACCAAATTTATTTGTCAGCAGTGATAATAAAAATAATTATAGAGTGAGTTGGGTTTTAAAGGTTCACAACTCTTACACAAATAAAGCAACAAAACACAAACATGGGCCAAAGAATATAACAGCAACATTCAAGTAGTTTATGATAATAAAAAAAGAAATGGACATTAAGATATCACAATTTTTAAAGCAAAAATTACACCAGTCTAACATTCTGTAAAGGAAATCAACAGGAATTATAAATATAAGTGATCTTAAAAAAAATGTGAAGCATAAAAAATATTTTAGCAAATAAGTACAATACAATAAAGTACATTTACATATTATTTATCTAAAGTGGTCATGTTAGGAATATTTTTCAAAAATAATTACAATAACACAAAATTTGCTACTGACAATAAAAAAAAAACTATTTTTACTTTATTTTGAAAATGTGGATCTCAATATTAAAAATCTTGTTTCATTACAATTTACGTATGAAAAAGCCTACGTAAGTCAATAAATATTGTAGTGATTAAAGAACTTTAAATAATTATGTTCTTACAGTAACATTTAAAAAAAATACAACTTTAAAACAAGTAACTTTAATGATATGTATAGATCTAGTAAAAAAATTTATTTTGTAAATTGTTTTACAAGAATAATACTTTTGAGATCAAATAGATTGTGAAAATATAGCAGTTTTAAATTAAAACTTAGCATTATGTAAACATACATTTTAAAATATTTTAAATTTGACCCACATTAAACAAGCAGCAAACAAGTATTTGGAAACATTTACTGTAATAAATATTGCAATTAAAAAACAATTTAAGCTTACTGAAACTGTGTTTAAAGCTTCATGGTTTATGGAAGGATTTGGCAACATGCATTTAGCTGAATAAATAACTTGAATGCTTTTTTATTTGGTTTTAACAACTCACAACACCAATATTTAGATTTGCCAATATGTCTGTTACATTTTAGTCGTTTACTATTTCACTGGTAAACTTAAAAATTATTATGTTATATAAAGTAATAGATCAATAAAAATGGAAGGGTTATAAAATATTTTTGAACATTTTGCTTTGGCAATTTAAAAAAAATTTTAGAGGCTTAAAGCTAGTTACCAGGGTTTAAAATGGTGGTTTTTTTTTTTACTTATTTACCAGTTGGTCATAATATTATCCATGATTTTTTTCAGCTTAATTTGAGACATCTCATCTTGCATTTGGCGAAATTCTGAGTGTTTCTTGATTGTTTCTAAACCTTCCTGCATCAACAGCATCTGAAAAATTGAAATTTTCAAATGTTAACTTCAACTGTAATAAAAGTCCTGATACACCAAGTGGCACATATAGTTGAGTTGATTTTTTCAACCGCAACGTATGAAGGATTTTTATATATTGAATAATTTCCCCTGCCTTTACTCGATCCACCTCCAGGTACCCAAAAGAGCTGCATGAGCTCAGGAACTCTATGGAAGCTAACTTGAGACGTTTTATTTAATGTTCTACGACTTTACTAGGCCTACTGATTTTTTTAAAATCACCTTAATGCTAATGTATATATTTAAAAATCGCGTGATTAGTAATGAAAGTATTCATTTTGTTGTTGCTTTGTAGCCTTCAAAAACTTGCCTGTGGACAAATGTCAGAATCTTTTTCATCTGAAACTCTCTGGGCCTTTTGTATGAGTCCAGCTTCATATTCACCATTTTTGCTGACTGGACCCTCAGGGGCTTGTAATGCATGTTGCTGAATATAATGCAGGGAAGACATTAGAAATTTGAAGCTTTTTTAAAAAAACATCTCTTATGTTAAGAATCGCTCACTACTACTAGTGTTCAACAGAAGCCACAAAAAAATTGTGTCTCGCACAAAATGTAATGGTTTTTTTTTCTTCCAGTCTTGATCACAAGTACAAAACTAATTGTGATACAGAGTTACTTCAATAACCACAACTATTTTTAAGTTTGAGTTTTTTTCTTTGTTATACTATTTAGAAAGTCCATTTTACAGAGAGCTTAAAGCAAGTGATTACATAACTGTCGTCAGATGGAGACATCAGACTCTAACCTATCTGGTGAAAATTATATATGTGTTGTGCGATTCAGTTATGATAAAATGTCAAACGAAGTGTAACAATTAGAGACGCTTACCCTGATGAAAGGGACCATATACTCCACATCAGGGTCACTCAACACTAATTTATTTCTCCAGGTAAGGATGGCAAAGTTCATGTTGGGTGGGAGCTTCTTGTAGGGGGTTATAATGTGTTTCCATAGGCAGCCTTTGGCAATGTATTTGAAGGCTAAGATTTGATCTGGATCAGCACAGGGGTGGTAAAAGAAAACAACGGCGCCATGCTGGATCAAAAACAAAATAAACTTTATTAAGCGGAGCTGGGAAAAAATTTGAAACTTTTTATGAACTTTAAAAAGTGGAGCAACATGTTTTTTATTAAACTTAAACTACGGATTAAATAATCATTCATTAAAATGAACATGGTTTCTTACAAATGTTTATTTAGTAAGACACTTTTTTCTCTTTTTTTTTTTTAAATCATAAATAACAAGAAGGAGGCAAATCCATGAAGAAAAGCTTAGAACTAATTTAAAGTTGTAGAGAGGACTTGTTCTTTACTTTCCAGTACTTTTCTGTTTAGTGCAAGTTAAATTTCTTCTTACAAGAAATATTTTTACAACCAACTGAAGTTGAATTCCAATCGATTCTACATGTTTATTCTGTTGGTTATGATAATTTTTATCTTTGGTGAAATAATTTTTCAAGAAAGTTATTTCATGACACCCAAGTCTCAGGAACCTGTGAACTGGACATTAAAGTGTTACGAACCTCTAAACTGTGCAACCATCGCTGGACAGGAATATACTTGTACTCTCCATATTTGGGCCACACTGGACGATGAGGTCCACTTCATTTTCAAATAGAAATTTTTTTAATAAATAGCAGTCAACTATATACTTAGCTTTTGTTTACATAAGTATAAAAATTGGTGGTTACACAAATAACTTTTTTAATGTTGCCGCTTTAACAATTTTAAAATATTAAACATTGCTGCAAAATATTAAGTTTTTATTTGGAAGAAAATTGTTACCTTGTAGGTAAATCTTCTGTATATTCAATTTTATTTGGATAACAAATATGTCGAGGCTGGAGTTGATGAAAAAAATTCTAGTTCATATGTATTAAAATTGACTTATCAGTAATTAAACAGCACTAAGTATTTATCACAAACATTTATGGAATGCAAACCAGTAAACTAAATAAAGCTAATATTACAATTTTGATTTACAGCATGCAATTAAAAAAAAAAAAATTAAGTATTCACCTGCTGTGGCTGCTCTTCATATTCAGAGTAATGTAAACCTTTATTTGACTGCAACAAAAACCAATACAAGTTATTTTACAAACATTAATCCACATAAATATTTAGTAAATTGTATTAAAAAGCACAACTTTAAACTAATTTTCTTTATAAAAGTTATAAAGTGTCTACTATACTAACTGGTTCTCTTATGTTTTCTGTACACGTGTACTCTTCTGTGGATGAAGGATCCCAGTCAATGTTCAAGTTTGTCTGTTATATAAGAAAAAAAGATGTTTACTAAAAAAAGGTAGAGGCTACAACTATTTGACAGGAGGTAAGTGTTAAAGCTACATCAGGAATAAAACTTATAAATATTCATGCATCTAAAAATGCTAGAAAATATAAGGCTAGAAGAAAGCTGAAAAGAAAGTTTTTCAATCAAATTTTAAAAATTACAGACTAAACTTAAGTTGTACAGATAAATGTGCTTTACATAAAGTTTTTCAACCAAATTTTAAAAATTAAAGACTAAACTTTAGCTGTACAGATAAATGTGTTTTACTTAAACTTCAACCAAATTTTAAAAATTACAGACTAAACTTAAGTTGTACAGATAAATGTGTTTTACTTAAACTTCAACCAAATTTTAAAAATTACAGACTAAACTTTAGCTGTACAGATAAATGTGTTTTACTTAGTTAAAACAAGTCCAAGGGTTATGGTTATTGATTTTTACAAACAATTTCCACCCTGATGGTAACAGGTGGCTTATTGTGATAGGATGAAGCATGGATTAAAACAACTTGTGCTGCAGTATCTATTTCATTAGATTGGGAGTAATTATTGCAGGTGGATCTGGTATACAGAAACAATAGGGAAATGGACAGTCTGATTTTTTAAAATCACGTAAGTTTTCTGTAAATGTAAAGTAAATATGTATTCCCTTCTTGTAAATATTTAAGCAAAAATACACTACAATTTGCTTTAAAAAATTACAATAATTAGCAATGTAAATAGTAAACTAAACATTGGAAATGTAGTACTAAAAAAATGTCTCCTAAAACAACAAATTTGTCTGACACCAATTATTAAATTTAAACTCCAATATAAGCAATGACAACTGTTAGTTATCAAGTTTTATTAACTTGGCAACCATTTCAAGAACGTACCTTGCCATCATCACAGTTATTAGAGCTCCCCATCTGTACCCCACCATGAGGATCATTGGGGTCAACAGCCTGGTGTTGAGGAGAGTCGTTATTCTCATCTTGTGTGCAGGGATGAAAACAGGAGGTCAGAAAAACAATGAAGACGATGACAGTAAGAGGCCATCTTCCAACTAAACTCATTGTGTTCTTGTGTTGAGTCCTGTTTAAACATTTAAGAAATGTTGGTTATTCTTTGACAAACACTAGGTGATGATTACTTTTTAAACGGTTAAAAATGGTTTTAGTAGTTAAGGATCATACACATATATAACAGTAAGAGGTTGGGGTGGTGGATTATCATTTTGTTACTTATATGTGGTGAGGTGGTTGCACAGAGCAATGTTAATGGCCTACGGAACATTATCTATGTTATCCTTGCTTTTGCAAAAATCAAATTTGCCCTGTTAGCCTTTAGAAAGTTTAGATAAAATGTTGATACAACTGGCTTACCAATGTTTTAAATTTCAACACAAAATAAGGTTTTACCAAAATTTCATGGTGACTGGATTAAAGGTGTAGTTATCCAAAGAAGATACAAACACACAGACATTAATTTTTACACATATAAATAGATATAAATACATAGAAACATTGAACACAAGAAGCCATTACAAAAACCAAGACTGTGAAACTTAAATTTTAGTGTCCATTATCACTTTTTACTAACTTTGTGAGTCCATAAATTGTGTTACAGTTTTTTAAAACAAAGTTATTAGGGTCCCTAAATCTTTTTGGGCCTTACATTCAGTGATACTTAACTTGAAATGGATATACTTTGCGATGGAATGGGTTTAACAAAGTAAAAATAACTTAATTTCAAATTTAGTGAGATAGAATAAGTATACAGTTAGTCGTTAGTATGATGTTACTCATGGATTGATTGTATTTCATCCATAATAAAATGTTTGTATAATTTACCATTACAAATGCCAAAAGAACATTATATTGGTATTACTTAATTGTTTTTTAATTAAAATATCTAAAATATTTCTAAAATGATTAGGTTCATTTTTAAAGCTGCCCTTTGGCCTAATGAATGTGGAAAAAGTTGTCTGCTGAGATTCACCAGTCAACATTTTCCACATTATAAACATGCAGTTTTAGTGAGCCAAGTAAGTGTAACAGATTGACAAGGGGGTGAAAACACAAAGGGAAATAATTGCATTGTCCTCTTTGTAAATTTATTTATACATTTATAAGGTACAAGTAACAAGTTACATCTACAGAAGTAGACGTCCTAGTACTGAGTGCCACAGAAGAGTAGTGAGTAACTGAGTGAGTACTAGATCTAGATCTACTTACTGCTAGATCTAGATGATTATCTAGATCTAACTACTAACTTACACAACACACTGTCTTACACAATACAATACACAACACACACATCACTCACAACAACAAGTGACAGACTAATTTTAGTAGGCGTTTGCCCTACATTTACTGGTCTATATATACTATAGTAAATTAGTATACTCAAAATGACTAGATCTCTAAATCTCAATTAAGAGGCTTTTATTATTTTTACGTGCCAGATGTAGATCTAGATCTAAATAATGCCAGATGGTGACGGACTCAGTGAAGGATGGGAAAACACACAAGTAAACACAGCAGAAAGATTTCTATGATATATTATAAAAGTTTGCTTCGTTTTAACGAAATAAAATTAAAACAATGCACTTGTCGGCGTAACCTATCTATAGGCAAGACTATAATTAATTAAAGTAGGCCGCTATAATGTAGATTTCTAGATCCTATAGATAGCCTAACCATGTTAATTTACTTTTTTAATAAAAAAGCATTTAAGTTTAAATATTTTAAGCTCATTCGTACATCTACTTACATCTACATCTGTGTAATTTTAAAAAATTATTTTTAAGTGAAAATAAAGTATTATGATCAATAGGGCCTAAACGATTTATTTCGATATTTAATATTTATTATGTTAAATATTAACTAAAATACATTAATATATCCCCAGGCCTATGCTAGGCTATGCTTGGGGTCCTCAATAGGCCCGCCGCCCAAAATGACATCAGGAATTTTTTCCATCCGTCCCCCGTCCCCCCGCATCTCTACCCTATCATCACCCGCCCTCACATCAAAAAGGTCAGATCTCCGCCATTTCTCAAAATGATGTACAACATTGCACATGAAAATAGCATTCATTTTAAAGGAAACTTATATTTTTCTTATGATTAGTATAGTAAAATAAAAAAATGCAAAAAATGCTACTTCATCTCCCTTTAAAAATATTTTAATAACACCAAGCCAAGCAGATCGTCGAAAAATACTTAAATACGGTAGCCTACACACTCCCACCTCGTTTTTTTTCTTTGTTTCCATGTCTAAGCCGAGAAACTAATATTCTTTTTTCCTTAAATTAAGCGTAAATTGAAACTATCATTAAAATATAGATCTACAAAAACAGGGCTTAGCCTAGGAAACAAATGCGAAAACAAAATTTTAATGATGAGGTCATTGGTCGCTAGGCTTGGCGCTTATTTCAAAACAATAACGACCAACTTCCGCCTGTACTTCCGTGTAATTTTGCAGTTGTGAGTTTGTGAAGAGGGTTCCATATAAAATATAAAAAATGTCGTCAATGGCATCTAACATTAAGAAAGCTGGATCTGTGCTTAGGAAGTCATTTCGGTCGCGAAACTATTCTATGTTTGATATAAAAGAAAACGAGCACGCACACAAGTCAAATGGCAGTGGAGATAGCAGTGTCAAAACGCCTAAAGAAAATTTTCGACAGCGCACACTTGAATCAACTAGCAGTAGCTCCGGTGATGAGTTTGATTTGGATAAACCATCTACTGACCAGAAATCGATTACTTTAAAAAGATCTAAAGTTACGCAGTCAATGCGGGACGCGGTTGGAACTATTAGACAGGTGACTCATTACTAAAATTAAAATTAATTAGAATCTAGAATCTAGACTTATTTTAAATATTTTTAGTTAGGGAGTAGAATCTAAATTCTAAGAATCTATCTTTTTCCAAGACAGTAGTCACTTCATTAGTATTTAGATCTAGATCTAGACTAGATCTATCTAAGTATTTAGGCTACATTAATGATTTTTTTATGTTCCCTCCCCCATGTCAAAGGCCAGGATCAACTGGGATGGGCCTAGATCTAGAGTTGGTAAAATCATGATGCAAAAAATAAATGACTTGGCTGTAATTTAGTGATAAGGGTGCGAACACTGCTTATTGGCATTGCTTATCAATAAGCACAATTGCATTTTATGATTTTATACCTTTTTGATAGGCGGTGTGGCTGTCTGCAAAGATTTCTTTAAAAAATAATTCAAAATATTAGGCAGACCCGTACAGAATTTCAGCATGTTGAAAATTGACTATAGACTTCACTTGACTTAAGTTAGGCCTAAATATAGTTAAATATACTAAATAAGTTTAGAGTAACTTGAGTTTTAACTTTAAAAAAAAAAATTAAACTTAGTAGATGCACTTGAAATTTTTAACTCTTAAATAATAAATTTTACATTAGGCCTACACCTTTTAAATTGTTTTATTTGTAGATTTTATAATACAAGTCATTTAGCCTCGTAAACAGAACTTAAAGAGGAGGCTGCTTTCACTGGGGGGGGGTATCGTCCTTAACGACCTACTGATAGTGTTTTAAAGCAAATATTTTTAGTGGCAGCATTGGTACTGCCGAATTAAAATTTTTTGAATTACTGAAAAGTAGAAAATAAAACAACTAAATAGCGGCGTATGATAAGCCGCAGGTCGGCTCGTTTATATTATTTAATTAGTCCATAACTTTTCACATAACTCTCACAGTTAATAAACAAAAAGACGAACGCTTAAAATTTAAAAAAAAAAGTCTTACTACTTACCTGTAGCTCAGGGCGTAATGTCTAGTGTTTTTACCTCCTTGCGCTTTTAATTACGTGTACATTTTAAATTACAGAAACTGAGGATGTCAACAAGAAGAAGTCGACTTCACACAACACCAACCAGAGTTGGAAAACGAAGGCACACATTGGGAGGCAATGATGTTAAGATGTCATCCCCATTCAAGATTGACACCCCTTCTAGATCTACAAGAAACAGTCAAAAAACATGGTACATCATTTAGATTATCCATTTATAAATATGATAAATGATAATAATTAGTTTATTTTTCAGTCCTGATAGTATACAATGGTGAGAAGAACCAGTGCTCATTGTTTTCTGCTTGCTTTTTTCTCATTAGTTTATCGATAGAAACTCCCACAAGACTTAGACGTGAAGTTGAAGCTCTTACAGCTAATATGCAAGCACTGAGTGCCCTTACACCAAATACACTGCATAATAGAACAAGAGGGAGGTAAGTCTACCAGTGTCTAGACTTCAGAGACTTGTATTTAGGGTTCATGTACCCTCTTAAATTTGAGATCCTGGAAAACTCAACAAAAAAAAATGTTAAAAGCCTGTAAGCTTATGAGAGTCTCCAAAAATACCCATGTCCTGAAATTAAAATACATGATTTTTTTTTTGGGGGGGGGGGGGTGTAACATAACAACCAGTGATTTAACATTGTAATCCCATAATGCTCAAGCAGAGTTTTTATTATAATTTATTTATACATTTGTATTGGTATATGAAACCTAATCCAATAAATTTCTCAGCTCTTGGGGTCTTAATGTCATATCTCATTTGCAAGGTTTTATGCTACAATGTACATGTGGTCATTCTTTGATAATGACTTTAAGTTATAGGTTTAAAAAAACTCCCTAGTAATATTAAATAATAAATTTTCTGTCTATAGTGATTTTTTTTTTCTCATTATGTTCGTTCATTTTGTGCTAGTATTGATTTTTAAAATTGATTTCTGTTATCAGTACCAGGAAAACTCCTCCATTGACGAATGGTAGTTTGAAGACACCAAGATCAATTAGACGACGAATCACCACAGACATTTTTTAAATATGCTCAGGTGTTGTCAGACTTCTGCCAGGTAGTTTCTGCACCAAAATAATGTATCCTCCAAATATTATTTATGGAGCTATATTATTGTACTGAAAGATTTTCCCCATTATGGACTTGTCAAGACAATCATTTTGGTCAGAAAAACAGTTGTTGTCTTAAGAGTTACCCTGTCATGTTTAAATGAAACAGAAACAAATCTATATTATTTACAGTATTATATTTTATTTGATAAATTACAAGTTAACATGGATTTTTCATAACAAAATTTTAAATATTGAACTGTGTTCAAAAAATCAATTTTTATTTGTTTAATTTAATTTTTTTATCATCATTTTATTCAGTTTCCTAGAGCAAAAATTGTATTTTTAAAAGTATGTGTGATTTTTAGTTGCATGAAATACTCTAATGTACATATTGTGAGATTTGTCTTTTAAAAAATTCTGGTCTAGTTTAATTTTCTTAGTTTAGTTGGTATTGTTACAGCGGTTTTGGTATGTTTTAATTAATCTAATCTGCTTTGAATATTTCAGGGATTTTTTACAATTATATTAAATATTAAAGTAACATTTCAATATGTCATTGAACAAACATCCCTGGTGAATGTAGGGTACTAATATTCCGGTGCTGTGAATTAGAATCAGAGATCTAGATAGCATTGCCACTTTTTAAACTTTTAAGTTAGTTTTATATAGACATACAATCATAAAACATTTTTACTTAACAAAGTATGATTGGGATCTATTACTCCCCTGATAAAAATGTTTTAAGCTTTATTTGCTTTTTTATACTAAGGTCTGTTTGGTTCTGCTTTGCTTTTAAAATAGCCACAAGTAACATTTTTGTACATACAACAATTTTAAACTCTTCTGATGACAAATGTTTTTGATTGACTTAACCACTGGTGTCAGTGCAATATTAAATTACATGTTTGCATGTATTGTGCATGTTTGCAATTTTTTAAAGATATAATTTTAATGAACATAATTTCAAATGTATAATTTAACAAGTGTTGAAACAGTGAAGTTACAAAAGTTTCCTTTGGTCAGTGCGTACATATGTTGTAGACCTACCCATTGACTTTTGAAAGCCTTATTTTGTTTCATAATCTGCCTATGTATATTACAGTTAGTGCCTTACATTTTTATAATTCTGTCCGTCATTAAAATACCTTTTTTACTTAACTTTACAAACACTGATGTTAAGATTTTTTTTTTTTACACACGTGTAACTGGGTATCAGCATATTGGTAGGTGATTTATTACTGTTAATATGCTGAAGTTTGGTTGTGTTAGGTTTTTTTTTCCCACAAATTTCTGAATTCTTACAAGATGCACTATAGATACAGTTATTACAGCATTGACAGTGCAGTGTATATATTATATTTTATGCACAACATAGCTTTGCATGTGTAAACAAGAAAGTTCTATTGGAATATATTTTGTTAAATCTGTTTCTATCTAACTGTACTGTAACACATTGTTAACAATAATTATAACAATTATTAAAATTTTCTATTATAATTTTTTGTGTCTTTTTTTTTAAAAAATTACTATTTCCTTCTGTAATTTAAGTTTTAATTTGTTATGGGTTGTAAAGACTTTGTAGAAATAACTTTTCAGGGGGTCTCAATATTATTCCCATTCACTTCCCCCTGACTTGAGTGCGAATGAACTTATACTTTTTGTAAGAATTTCCTTGACTTTTTATGTTGTTCGCTACATCTGTAGGGTCTTGGGCCTATTGGTCTGAAACTCTACTCAGATATATTTTTTGCGTCTTTTTTTGTGTTAAATGTTAGCCTGATGTCCTACTGGTTGGACTGGGTTCCGGACAAGTTTTTCATCAAATCTGTATACTACTTCGTTCAGTAGTTTTTCCACAAGGGTCAAACTTCTACCTATATTTACCATAAATTATCATTTGGCGTTTAAGCAGCCATTTCAACATATTTCATCATTCATACTGGGGGGGGGGGGGGCGGAACCATAATGAGAAGGCCCCACTTTTCACCCTTGCACCACATATTTATTCTCTTTCTTCAATCCCCTCACCTCCGTTATCAATATTATTTGATCTCTTAGTGTCATGTTGGGTTACATTAACCTGTTGTCTCCCCTCCTATGACATAGGCCGTAGACAAGTTTTTCAGTAGGCTAGTCTCGCCAACTTTACTGTCCTCAAGTGTATCCAATCTTCTTGGTGTCTTCTTCCAGGTCATCCATTGGTCTGCTCCTATTTATTTTACTTGTAGATGCCAGGGGAGGGAACTGTCTTATTGAGCTGGATACAGGTTTCCTGAATGTGTGGCCAATCCATCTCCATTTGCTCGGGAGATCATCTTCAGCTAGCAGTTGGTTTGTCCGTTACCATAGTACCACATTGTTGATAGTGCACGTCCAACAAATACGAATAATCTTTCTGAGACATGAGCTAATAAATGATCTCAGACCACGCACGCCCCCCCCCTCCCCCCATCATGGACGAAATAGAAATAATTTATTAAGAAATTATATAGGTTTTACTTTAACCACTTCAACCCGGAAATTTAAGTGCGCCCTTCACGAGAGTTTCATGTGCCCCCATTCATAACGCAGCACAAAAAAAGTGGGGTTTAACACTAATCTCGATAAAACACTTGACTTGTATTAGAACATGCATATTGAATTAAATTCAATAACGAATTAGGCTCCGACTATCGTTTTTTAGGCCCTTGGAAATGAGAATGCTATGCAGACTTATGAGAGACACAGCGATCAGATAAGTAATGAATACGTTTGGTCCATTGAAAGTCTACTCGAAGAAAATTTGAGATGGTAGGCCTATAGGCATGTCATTCTCACACGAGCCAACAACCTACACAAAACAGTTACTGTGCCAGGAGGGAGAAGAAGGGGAAGACAAATATGTGACTGCATGGCTGGACATCAAGGGATAGGGCTGCTCGTCAGTTTCTTCCAGGCATCCTCCACCCCAGAACGAAATAGATGTTATATAGAAAATATATACTTTTACTAATGTCCCCCCCACCCCGATAATGTCAAGTGCCACACCCCCCCCCCCCCCGGAGAAAAATGTCTGGAAGAAACACTGCTGCCCGTTGCAGCAGAACTACTCAGAGCAGCAGAGGACCGAGAGGGTGGAAAATGAGGGGAAAATCAACTTTAGTGCCTAATAAAATAAGGGCATGATAACTTAATAAGTGTTAAGGACGGTCGATCGATAGTATCATATTTCATAACAGCTGTATATTGTAGTTGATATAATATTTAAATATTATAAACATCATGCCCATAATTTACTTTTCATATATTTAGTTAAATTTGATCCGAATTTAAGTTTATATTCCATGGCACATTTTAATATAATTTAGGTTCCCTATAGACTCTATTCTAGATCTATTTAATTTAGGCCTAATTAATAAATAGAATCCGAATAAAAACAGCACCGGTATTGTTGGAACTACTACCGCTATATAGGCCCCTACATGACTTCTTGCTTGGATACCAAATATTAATGCGCGTTAAATATTATCTGTTTTAACAAGATTTAAATGCAGATACCGAACAAAAAAGTTTAGAAATCAGCTTTAAAATATGATTTGAACTAGTATGTGTCTATCAAATGCTTGGTTCTCAAAAACTTGTATAAAACTATTTTGTTTAAATATGTGATACATGGCGTCCTATTAGGTGTGATACGTCTAAATGACAAAATATTTTTTTTCCGCTTGTAGGTCTACAAAATAAATTAAAAACAAAAAGCTACAAAAATTAAAAATAGTATACAGATCTACGTTATTGAATTTTAAAAAACCCCGCTTGATTGATTTGTAAACTAAGCTTTTAAAATAATAACAACATTTCTTAACCTTTAAATTTTAATAGCTGGTGCTTCTTCGCCTGGTCATATGATGATCAAGAATAGATTCTAGTCTAGCTACTAGCTAGGCCTATTAAGTGATTACTATTCGGTGAATCAATACTCGACTTTTAACTAACCGATCATGGTTTTATCATCTACGAATGTCATTACTATGTCTCGTCAAGGATGTTGGTAAGTAAAACAAAATGTATTTAGACTAAGTTATTTTTATGACACCTGTTGTGAAAATTGAAAACAAATCATAAGTTAGTTAAGTTAGTTATAATAGTTAATAGCTATATTTAGTATTAAGTAGACAGTCAAAAGTTGGGAATACAGTAAATTATTATCATTGTAAAAAGTTATAATTATTTATTATTTAACATAGTATAGATCTCGATCAAGTTGTTACTGTACTTTGTAAAGAATAACGTTACTCTGGGTTAAAACACTCTATCCAAAGGACTTTTTCTTAACCTCAAGTGGATCCAGCCATTGATAATTTTATGATAATTTATGGAAGAATAATTTTGATGGACCTAAAATAGTCACTTATCTCCATTTTTAAAAATTCATATAAGTTATCCTGTAACATGACACAATGGGTAAGACATTGTTAATTTTTTTTAAAATACAGTTTTTGTGCATTTTAAATGGACACAACATTTAATTGAACATAACTAAGAAGGATGTGCATTTTAAATGGACACAACATTTAATTGAACATAACTAAGAAGGATGTGCATTTTAAATGGACACAACATTTAATTGAACATCCTTCTTAGTTATTTAAAAGGGTCATAACCTTATGGTATTGGGGAGGATAAAATAACCCCACCCCATGAACCCCAAAACAACAACTGTCTTATATAGTTACATCTATTAGCCGTTATGAGGATGGTGTGGCTTAGGTAAAGCTAACTTGAAAGCCTCAAGTCTGGATCTCTGGCTTGAATCTGTAGGATATCTTGAGTCCACCTAGCTCTGATAGGTACTTAACTAATGTTAAGGAAACAAACTATCTTGTTCCCCTAATAGGAAATGTGGCTGACCACACTATTCGTTTGTATTTGTCATACAAGGGAATATTGTGGTAACTAAAAAGATTAACTCTACTTCATCTGCCCCATGTTTATTTGGTGCAAACAGGAAAAGATGATGATTGGTGATGTTGCATTCCTGCTTTAGTTACAATATCTAATAAACTTTTTTTAAATATATATATATATATATATATATATATATATATATATATATATATATATATATATATATATATAATATATAAGTATACTAAAAAAAAGTTAATGACACCTTCGGGAGTAATTGTTTAAGTTTAAAAATACGTTTTAAATTCTCAAAACACACTTAACATGATTCATATTGTTATTTATTTTTATTTTCAACCAAAAGGTAATTTCATGGATCAATGTGAGGAAAAAGTCAACTCGAAAAATAAATCAACCATGACTGAAACTAAACAAAAAAAATCAAAGAAGAAGAAAAAGAGTAAAAAGCATTCTGGGAAATCGGAAAGACTTGACTTTTTCAAAACTGCTAGTGATGAAGATCAAGGCAAACTTGAGGTTAAAGGTCTTGGAGCAGTTGAACCAACAGGTAAGATGAAAAATTTTAGCATTCAAAGAGATTTTTACAGCCACGTAGAACACTCACAGACTTATAATAACTTATATTACACATGTTTATGTTTTAGCAGTGAAAAAATAAATAAACACAAGGGGGGAGGGGACATATTAGAGGTGAAGTAAAACAAAATCACTGCTGCCCCAAACAGGGTATTCGCCACTCATTTACACACACTTAGTAATATCCAACTAGTTGCATATGTACCAAAATGTCCAATTTGTTTTGTAAGAGGTAATTAAAAAATGACACCACATTTCTGTGGAAAGGAAAGATTTATTCTTAATTAACAATATATTATGGAGAGGAGGGGGAGCAATTTCCCTCAAGTCTGGCACTTGTTTTGCATCCTTTCAAAGAAAACAAGTTAATTAAAAAGTCTAGTGACATTTAAGCGCAATTTCCTTATGTTATCTAAAAATAGCTCTGTCGTAGCGTAAATCAAGAGCAGGGTTAGTAAAACCATTGGTTAGTTATTAAAACGTTTTTTATTAATTTGTTTTTCAGTATTTTACATGTTTTATTTACAATAGAGTTACATGACTAAAAACCATTGCGCGCCTAGCTACTGAACGTGATGACGCAGCCATTGAACGTGATGGCGCAGCTATTGAACATGATGACGCGTGTGGTGTGGTTGGAAAAAATGCCTACTAATTCGGTCCAAATTTTAATGAATTAAAAAAAAAATTGTGACTGAACGAAAGGATATTTTTGAAAACTTTCTTCGGCAATATTGTTCTAAATTATGGCAGGAATCGATTGGTACATGTTTCAAGTCGCTAAGTGGTCTGGTTGTCGAGATATGGGCCAAAAACTGCTTTTTTTCGAGCTTTTTTTGGCTTTTCCGGGAAATCCATGAAAGAAACCCGGAATTTTTATGGCCTATGTTCATCCTCGTAACTTGCTTAACATAATTGCTTTTGGAACTAGTCATCGATATTGCTTCGTTGAGGAGGAGATACGACTTAAAGCTGCGGACACACATCCATCCATCCATCCATACATCCAGAAATGATGGGTTAATAAACGCAATTCTCCAGAATGGAAATTGCGCTAAAAATGATGAAAACCTTAAAATTGGGTAGATTATGAGTACAGTTTAGAACTGTACGATGTCATTTAAGGATCCTGACTTTGACGATCAAGGTGGGGGGGGGGGGTTGAGGGGGGTAAAGCCTCACATCATTTATGGATGATACTCTAAAAATGAAAACTGTCCGGATAACTAACAAAAAACAAAACTAACAGCTGAGAGCATAACCAATGTCATTTTAATTCATTCCCATTGAAAGAGATCTCTATACCAATAAGTTTGGGTCTAAAAACATTTTAAGATGCTAATTATTACATTTCCTTTAAGGCACCCAACATATATATTGACCAGACGCTTGATCTGTTAGTATAGTGACGGGGTTTGATCTGTCAGTATAATCACATGGGGGGATCTGTCAGTGTAATCACATGGGGCTTGATCTGTCAGTATAATCACATGGGGCTTGATCTGTCAGTGTAGTGACATGGGCATGATCTATCAGTATAATCACAAGGGGCTTGATCTGTCACTATAATCACATGGGGCTTGATCTGTCAGTATAATCACATGGGGCTTGATCTGTCAGTATAATCACATGGGGCTTAATCTGTCAGTATAATCGCATGGGGCTTAATCTGTCAGTATAATCGCATGGGGCTTGATCTGTCAGTATAGTGAGATGGGGCTTGATCTGTCAGTATAATCACATGTGGCTTGATCTGTCAATATTGTGACATGAGGCTTGATCTGTCAGTATTGTGACATGAGGCTTGATCTGTCAGTGTAGTGACATGAGGCTTGATCTGTCAGTATAATCACATGGGGCTTGATCTGTCAGTATAATCACATGGGGCTTGATCTGTCAGTATAATCACATGGGGCTTGATATATCAGTATAATCACATGGGGCTTGATCTGTCAGTATAATCACATGGGGCTTGATCTGTCAGTATAGTGAGATGGGCTTGACTACTTCACAAAGCGGTGTAGTATCAACTACCACTCCCCACGATTCGGGTCTATTGCTTGTGTATAATGACAAAGTGTTTCATCGAGTTGCACGCACTGTCTTGTGATTAAATTAAAGACATTAAATTACAATTTATCCAATAGATAAGCTATTGATTTTTTTTTATATTGCAAAAAACCAACAATGAAATGAATTCTTTCGTTGTTGGTCTGACAAGCGAGATATGCGCGTGGGGGGTCTTATTCATGACGAACGTGGTTAGTAGAACTGGATTAAATAATCAAGATTCATGCTGCTTTTATTAATATTGGCTTGATATGAATCAGGAACGAAAACCGCATGTTAACTTGATTAATAAAAAAATCTGGATAAACCACCGGAGATTAGATTTCCCTCCCCTTGTATTTGTAAACGTGTTTTCTTTACTAAGTCTATCTATGTACAACCACAAGGACAGTAGTGTTGAACACGGTGATTAAAAAGGTAGGCACTGTCCCAACGAGACCAGGCGTATGGGGTAATCTGCGTAAATCTGCGTTGAGACGGTGCTGCAATAAATCGCCCCGAGAGGACGAAAATCAAACATTATTGATTGAGAGCGGTGCGTATCGAACATTAGCATAAAAGAAACATAAAGCCGTGAACAGAAATATAGAAGGGTTTCTGGTTTCTTTATACAGCATGCTGTGTTTCTTGATTCACCCTCAATGGGAGGATTCAGTGGAGGGGGGGGGGGACTGAAAATGTATACTGGGCAGTGGCGTATCCAGGTTTTCGTGGTAGGGGTAGCGGAGAGTGCGTTCGTGTTTGTGTATGTGCGGACTTTTTCAAATACATCAGTTCCGCGTGATTGTAAAAAAAAAAAACTTTATAAAATATTCGTTGACTACTGATTTCCCTTTTCAAATCAGTTTTGTGGGTTTAAAAAAAATTAGATCTATGTTTTGATTGTTTTAAATAAATGTGCACTATTTATTTAAGAATTATTTATCAGTGTGTCATTACCTAGAGTTCTAATACACGTATTAGGTCGCAGTGATGGTCTAAAATGTCAGGTGCATCTGCATCTTGACTCAAATATACGCTCTTGAAACTGTGTGCAAATTATTTTTCTCCCTTTTCTTTTTTCTTAAATATGCATACAATTTCTAGCACTGTCCACCTACAAATATAATTCTATCAAATTAGATCTGGCATAGCAGCAGGCTTTTAAAGTTATTTAAACGGTTACACAACGCCGTCACTGCTAAGCGATAATGCAGACAGCGTTGAAAGCTACGAAAGCACAATGAATTTTTTTTTTAAATAGAGCGAATCTATTAAGAGTTACGGAGTTTCACACAAAAGTAGATCACAACTGCCATAGTAAGATCGTCCTAGATCTCATGACTTGCAAGTGACGTGTTTTCTGCCGCTGGAAAGGAAATACCAAGTAGAGCCAAAAACAGTCATGTTACGTCATCATAATACTGACACTGATATTAAAAACCCAATGACTGTAGAGAATAGACCTACCATAGAACAAACGACGACGCGAGCTCGAGGCTGAAACATCAAGCAAAGGTTACTCTTGTAATCAGTGGGTCAGAATGACCTAGGTGAGCGGAGATCTGTGCTTGATGTTACATCATCATAAATTTTGTGCCCAAGACTCATGGGCCGCCACAGAAAGCTCTTTCCACTTTAGCCGGTATTTGGCAATTTTCCCCCAAGATAGTCCTGCCTTTGTCAGTTGACGAAGAACCATATACACCGAAAAATGTATAGACCAACATAGGATGAAAGGGATTGAAAATAATAAACAACCATGCTGTTTGCTTTATGCAAAGACCCCATTTATTGACTGAGCACCCTCCCCCTCCCCAGAAAACTGATGTTTAGTTCATCTGGGAGATATTTCAAATCATAAAGGGGCGTATGACCAAAACCTCAAAGGAAAGCAGACCTTGGCTCAGATGGATAAAAGTAGAGAAAGACATACGACATCATCGAGTCTAGAAGCATAGTTATATTCTATTCATCATCATCATTTCCCGTTCGTGCCCAAGACACATGTGGCAGATTAAGTATAGTTCATCTGCTTCAGAGACCTCGGCACATGACGGTCAGCACTATGCCTAACCGCCTTTACTTACCCTAACGTGAGTTAGATACCCATCAGAGCTGGGTGGACCCAGGGACGTTCCACTGACTCTCGGGTTAGCAGTCTAGCTCTCTACCACTAGGCCACGCCGTCCCCTTATATTCTATTGCAGATCTACGAACGATTTTGGGGACCATGGCTTTATCTTGGTTAAAACTATAATTAAATTCATTGCTTAGTACGAGTGTAAGTCCTGTAGGCTATACCCCAAGTGTGTAGCCGAGTTGTGTTACTGTCAGACCTTGAAGCGTGTAGCCACGTCATGTTCATGACCCACATTGATGCGCGTAGACCATCGCCTTGGTCACAGTGTTTGATTGGGTTATCACTTAGAAGAGCCACACACCACCACACAGGAGGCTAGAAAAACAAACTTCATGAAAACACATCGCCTAGCGAATATTAGATAAACATTGACATAGGCCATACAGTCACGCACTGAAAGTAGAATTAGTCTGGCTATTGGACGAGTTACGTGCTGTAAAGGAAGTTGGGGGGGGGGGGGGGGGGGGGGGGAGAAGAGGGTCAGTGTTTCTTCCAGACTTTTTTCTCCGGGGGAGCACTTAATATTTCCGGGGGGGGGGGGGGCGGACAACATTTTCCGGGGGGGGGGGGGCGGACACTGGTAAAAGTATATTTTCTATATAAATTCCTGGAAGTAACTCTAGAGGGGGGGGGGGGGGGTAATGTGACATAAGGTCTATATATATTTCTTAAAATTTGGAGTAATTTTTTTTGGAGGTGGAGTTTAGGGGTGAACATGCTACCCAGATCATTTCACTTTGTCATGTCACCCCCCCCCCCCCCAAACCTAATTGCACTGCTCTGTCAAGTAGCTTCCAATACTTCCATGGTAATTACCCCCTCTCGATATTGATAATGTCTAAGAAATGCAAAATAGATTATAAAATAGTAATTTGATCAGTGGGTGGGCTGTGATTGGGAGGGAATAAATAAATATCCAATGAGAGGGGTGTGACGCTATTTTAGGGAAGTTTGGCTTTTTGTGTGGAGAGTGGGGAATCTGCCAACATTGTGTCTGAACAACACTCTATTCTGTAAATTATGGCTAATCGATACTACGAGAAATAATTTGACTATGGTTTTATTTCCTTAGCCTTAAGCTTTAAATAAAAAAATGTAATGTTTTATTTTTCAGACATCAATGATCAGCTGGGACTATCGGGAAAAATAAAACTACCCATGATCCCTGGCACATTGACCAGACCAAATGACCCATCAGAAACGCAGTCGTCTTCCACTCTTGTATCTAAAGCCAAAGAAACCTCACCTACGCACCTCGGCCAAAATGACGCCAGAACACTTTCCAACAAAATGAGCCAAATCAGCATCAAACAAAAAACTAAACCCACTGCTCGCAGTAAAGCCAACGGAAGTAGACAGATAAACGACGCTAAAGACCTGCCAAAATCATTGGATGCGATACTCGAAAAAAATCGTAGTATCGCTTTAGCTCATATCAATATCAATAACAAATCGAACGAAAGTCTTCGGTGGGAAAATATTTTAGAGGATTCAGAGGAGGAAAGAGAAAGGATGAGGCTTTATAAATTAAACAGACGGAAACGCTACCTAGCTGCCGCTGTTGCAAAAGGTCTAGGCTGGGCCGTGAATGACCCACTTAGCTCTTCCTTTCAACCGCCATCAGAAGATTTTGGATTTGAAAATAGAAAGCAGATGCAAAACCCCTACACAGATTTTAGCCCTATGAAAACATTACGATCGTCACAAGTCCATGGGCTAGTAGCGACCTCTATGGTGGAATGCTGATCCAGCCAACGGAATATAATAGGTCAGGGGTCGGCAACCTGCGGCTCGCGAGCCGCATGCGGCTCTTTTGATGTCAAGATGCGGCTCTCCAGCTCCTTGCACAAATACTAATAAGCTTAATAAAAAAATAAAATACTTGTAATAAAAAAATGTTAGTGGCTCTTTTAAACCAGGGAGATTTTGAAAATTGTAACTTTTGGCTCTTCCGCTTCGAAAGGTTGCCGACCCCTGTAATAGGTCTATATAGATATAGTATCTAACTGATTTCAGTGATAAAATACCAAAGTTTACTGCAGCAATACATGGGGGGGGGGGGGGGGGGGGGAAAGAAGAGGTCAACAGAGCCCATCATAGATTCAAAATGGCCTCTCTCATGTTATATTAAGCTATTGGAAACAGTGCACTCAATACTAAGCCTACTTGGAATTTTTTAAAATACCCCCTGACGTCACACTTCTTTTTTTTTGTGACGATTTTTACCTCTCCTCCGTCACACTAAGGCCAGATCTCACCTGTTTAATCATTTTTTTAAAATTATCGATTTCTTTCTAAATATTGGCTAAGCTCGGTCTACATAACATATTTATATGAATCAATTTATGTGATAATTAAAAACAGTTTTCAAAAATGCAAATTAACGGCTACATTCAAAATCACAAGTATGCATCTTCATCTGGATAATAAATTAATATCTGCATTATAATTGTTTGTTACATTGACGTTTCCTCTTGAAGAGTGTTAACTTTTGTTGTTTTCTAGCAACAAAGTAACATACAATCTACTAAACAACTTATCTTTATGACTTTAAGTAATACGATCATTCTGTTAGACCGTCTTGTGTGACAATGTTATAAATTCTCTTAATACTTGTAGCTAAAATATAACAGAGTTACTTTCAGGCAAACCCATAGAAAAAATATATAATTCATAAAGAAAATATAGCCTCTAAACTTGTCTTAAAACGAAATGTCTGATCGTAACATATGCTGTAACGTAGGCAAGGAATGTAAGCGTAGTAGTGGGGCAAAATTCACAATATAAATCTAGTAGGGGAGGGGGTGACACTAAACAAAAAAATTGTTGGGTGAGGGGGTGACACCACTTCACTAAACATTTATTATTTAAATTAGCACCAATCCAAATCTAGATAATATTTCGGTTGGATAAGCACAAGAAATTGAAACTAATCTATTTAAAATTGCATTGAATCTGATAATCATTTGTAGTATTTTAATCTGCCGTTGAACTGTTGTTCACAGCTGTGGTATTGTATGAGCCAGACATTGTTGTCTTTCAGAGATTTTACACCTGGAATTACTTACCAACATTTTTTTTTGTAATCTTTCATTGAAATTTTAACAATGTATTCTCAAATAATGATTTGTCTGTGATATGATTGTAACAAATTATTTTTGTATTTAAAAAATTATTAAAAAGAGTGGTTAATTAAAACAATGAATCCTGTTTCTGACTAAAGAGATGATTGTGTGTGCAGTTGCACCTGTGATAGGAATTTGCCATACAGGATAATGACTTGCTTCGTGTATCGCATAACTACCTCTGGTTATTTTTATTTTAAAGAAGAAAATCATGATAAAAGCGCAACTTCCATAGTCTTGTATCACACAGAAAAAAACCCACTGCACTGACAAGATGTAATACACAAACATGGTATACAAGCTGCCTTTAAAAAAAAAAATGTGATAAATTTCAAACAAAATTATCTTGTCTCCAAGTAATGAGATCAATGTTGATGATGACTAGCTAATTCCTTTAATCACACCATTCCTAATTATTAAAATATATATTTCTAGGTAATGGATCTAACCACAATGGATGCCCTTTCTCACTATTGTTTAAAATACTAGCAGTAGAAATTAGACAATTCTCATTTAATAAATTGTACAAAAACAAAATGACTCAATATTCATGCATATTTTATTATTTACATTACAATAAATCAATAATCAAAGATATTTATTTGGCTTCTTTAGCCAAAAGATCTCTGGCTATTTGAAATGTGGCAATCAATGAACTCAGCTGAATTTTTTCACTTGTACCAACAGCCAGGCGGTATCTAAAATGGATAAATAACAAAATCTAAGTTATAAAAAACAAATACAATAATTAAAGTTAAAGTAGGAGAAACTTTTATAAAAATCTGGCATATGTACATTTTAGAAACAAATTTAAAATTGAGGTTGTGGCACAAAAATATTAATATAATACACATTTTGAATGCAAGTATCATCAAATGTAACCAAAAACATGATACATACTCAACATCTGCCATCTTCTCCAATAGTTGCATGCGAATGTGAAGTGGTAGGTCAACTATAAAGAAATAAATAAGCTTGACAGTTCTTGTGTAAGAAAGTTAAATATGTATTGTACATAGAAATATAGAACTATTAACCATTATTTTATATGAAACAATCATCAGAAACTATTAAATAATAGATGAACTGAGTATCGGTAGATAGTGTGTACATTTACTAGGCCACAAAAAAAATATGATCAGATTATTTCTAAAACTAACAAAACACTAAGTTATTTATTCTTCTGCAATAAATGCACCATCATAATCATAAAACCATTTAAAATCAAGAGTTAAATAATTCCTGCCAAGGTAAAAAAACTGAAGGAGAGAGACGAATACCATATTTAAAAAATAAATAAATAAATACTAAAAAAGGTAAAGCAGACTTACTTCTGTGTACGTAACTGTGAACTTCAGTCAATATATCACTTAATGCCAACCCTTTCTGGGTTTTCAAATTCATTATATCTTACAAAAAAGTTAAGGCTAAAAAAAGTGTCACTGTAGAGATAAACAAAACACCAGCAAAACAAGAACTAAATAAAACTTTAAATAATGATATACATAAAAAAAAGAGGATACTCTTATAAGCCGTTGTGAAATTCTCATTGAGAACCCAGTTAACAATGTTCTCTATGTCCTTTCTCAAGGGGTGCCCAACACAGGTGTAAACATTGTCTTCTGTCACCTCATCAAATGCCATAGATGTGCTCTGGAGAATGTTTAAGACTTTACGCATGTCCCCATTGGCCAGTGTAACCAGAGCTTTGACTCCACTCTCATTGCACTTCACACTGGAAAAAACAAAAATAAATAAATCTGAAATATTGTTTCATTGGTTATATTCATTCATAATATTCATGGTTTTCAAAAATCCAGGTCAACTTTTACAGTTTGATTGCCAATACATTTGTGTGAACACTACTCCATATCACAAAAAAAAAAAGAAAACCACTGACTAATGCGTGTTCATATAATCAAATAATGGTGTCAGCAGCTAAATCAAGTATTTTGAAATGAATGTTTTAAGCATGTATTTGTAATTCCAAGATATCAAAATACATCAGATTTTTAATATTATTTAAGCTGATTTTGTATGTCCATACAATATGAAAAAAAAAACCCCACATGACAATAGAGCCCAACATGTAGTAGTTATATGAACTATAAAAACCCACCTTTCCTGGGCAATAACATACTCCAGACGAGGAATGATTTGATCTTGTTTCAGTGGACCAAATCTGAAGCGTGTACATCTTGATTGCAATGCAGGTATAATTTTGGATAGATAATTGCAAATGATGCAAAACCTAGTGTTTTCTGTGAACTTCTCTATCACTGATTAGTTAAGGAAGAGTAAAACAGAATTATTATAACAAATTATTTTCTATAGAATTTAGAAATTCAAATTTTTAAAAAATAGTTTGCATTTAAGGATAAAAATTCAAATTCTTGTTACCTCTCCTCAGTGCATTTTGCGCATCTTTTGTCATAGCATCTGCCTCATCAAGAATAACTAACTTAAATCCTTTTCTGGGAAACAGAAAAATATTTAACAATAACTGCAATGTTTTCTTTTAAAGTTGCTGTATTATATAGGGACAACTAAAAAAAACCTACTCACTTGAATATAGTCCTTGTGCTGGCAAAGCTCAAGATCTGGCCTCGAACAATTCCAATACCTCGGTCGTCAGAAGCGTTAAGCTAAGATAAAAAAATACTTTATACCTTGGTCATCAGAAGCATTTAGCTAAGATAAAAAAAAATACTTTACTTTTTACTCAGAAGCATTTAGCTAGGATAGACAAAGTATTTTCCAACAAACTAAACATTTGGCATGGATCAAGTGTTCAAGTTCAATAACTTACAATACCCTTAAAATTTACAATAATATTTAAGTTAACAGATCATCTTACAATACCTAAAAAATTAATGGACTGATTACCAATAATAAAGGTAAAACAAAATTCAAAATTTACAATCTTCAAGACTTTCCAGACACAATAAAAAGGTTTTATGCTTGTTCCCCCAACAATATACAGATGTTAATAGAATGGATGGTGCTATCTTAAATACCAATCTAATACAGTAATTTGCATGTCAAAATCATGATGTGAGAGTATGGTAATAATAGACAGCATTGTTTAATTTAAAGTTTATGTACACAAAAATTAAGTCAAGCAAATCATATTTTGATGCTCATCCCTCACCTCTAAAACCATGGAATTAAATTCTTTAGGAGAGTATATTTTCTTGGCCACAGCCAGGATTGTACTGGTTTTGCCTGTCCCTGGTGGGCCATAAAACAGAAGATGTGGAAGTCTGTCATCATCTACAAACTTACCAACTGTGGAATATACATAATAGATTAGTACATTTTAAAAACTATATTATATTATATTAAAGTATGTTACTATTAATAACTTAAAATTATGTAGTATCTTGGTGGATATCAATAGACGATAGTCTACAACTGACTCACATTTGCTCTCAATGATATTATGAGGCATTTTCTTTTCTTTAACACTGCGCAGGCCTACTATATATCTTCTAGCCCCACAACTGACATTGCTAATATTTTTCCTAACTAGGCCTACATTTTATCCCACAAGCACAGGATGTGTAGTGAAATGTATGTAAAAAAATGAACAACATACAGTTAAAAGATGAACACTTACTTGTATTGATTATGTCTTTATGAGAAATTAAATCATCCAATTGCTTGGGCCGATATTTCTCTACCCTAGAATAAAAGTACTTAGATTTAGATCGAGTGGTAAGTTACAGATAAATGAAAACAAACATAACTTTTAAAGACAATTATTCTATCTATCTAATCAAATGCATTATAACTCAGTGTAGGGTAAGCACATTTCTTTAGATAGTATATACTAGATCTACAATAATTTTTTTATAGTACTACTAGAATTCTACTAGCACGAGATCTAGATACTGCTAGTACTTCATCTAGATTCTAGTACTTTAGTTATTCTATTGTAGTTAGTCTCATAAAAATTCAATTTTCTTCAAATTATAAAAAGAATAGCATATAATTGTAGAGCTTTAAAAATGCAATCCAACAGTACCAATTTTATTAATTTAGCATAATCGGTTGATTAAATATAATTTTTTTAGTGTCGCAAATAAAATATATAGAAACGCGACCAAAAACGCAGGTAAAAAGTCAAATTCACTTGTTTTAAAGCTAGTAAGCAAGAAAAGACATGATTCTTTCTTACTATTGAAATCAGTTTGCTTATACCTACATTTTTTTACACCAAGGTGAAAGTAAATAGTTTATATAAATTTATAAAATGCCATTTATATAATTTATTGTATGTTTTGTGATGAATTTTCAATTGGAAAATACCGCATTTGGAAGCAGAAAGGTAAATTCTACAGAACAGATTTTGTTTGGAATGTTATAGATTATAGATCTAGGCCTATATCAAAATGTTTGTTTAATAAAATTCAATTAGAGTCCACCCATTTCTGATGGGTACCTGATAGACATTGGGGAAATTAAAGGTAAAAAGTAAAGGCGGCTGTGAATATCGCTGACCACACGGACAATCACTTCATATGCCGAGGTTAAGAAACATGAACTCTACTTCATCTGCCAAATAGATTGCTTTGTCTACAGAGGAATCTTAATTATTGTTTACAGGGGCCTAATAAAATTGAGTTATGTTTGTAAAAACATTAAGCCTAAGCTTTAAAAACTTATTTTGGTCAATATCGGAAAAAATAAAAATCTTTTCGACTAAATGGGTTGAAAAAAGCTTTGAATTTGTTTCATTGTTTGTTATTATATCTTGTAGTATTTAGAATTGAAGCTTTCTTTCTTAATTACAAGTTGTATTAATTTCAAACCTTAACTATTGTCATAACTACTTTAAGTAGTAGGCCCTAAGTAGCAGATTTATGAATTAATTCATTATTGTATTTATTATTTTGTATTATTGTGATCTCAGGTTTAGATAATCATTAACATCATAACATGGGTACCAGGGTACTTTTATGATGAATGTTCTGGGTATTAGATTAGAGTAGGAGATCTTGATTGGTGGGAGTGAAAGTTAGTCATATGTTGAACGAATGAAGATGTGAGATAGTGACGTAGAGGGTATAAAGAACAATATTGTTGCTGTAGAATGTAAGCAAGGAGTTAGGGGCTAGGTATTCTATTGAAAAAGTATTAAAAAGTGAGTACGGGGGGGGGGGGGGGGTTAATGCTGTCAACTGTTACACTGTTTGTTGTGTTGACAGTTCAACTTGAATATGTATGTAGATTGATGTAAGCAATGTATTATTTCTAGATTTCTGATTTAGTCTTAGTTAGCATATCTAAAATTTCTCATTCTAAATATATACTTACCATGGAAGGTTGGGGGAAGGATTTTTATCCTTGCTCATTTTTGTCTAAAAATATCGTAGGTTGTTTATAAAGATTGTCCACGATTTTGATGTTGACACTTTTTCCCGGGAAATTTTTGAGAATTTACACCGAATAGTTTTTCATCCGAACCCGGAAATTATATTGCAAAAACAAGTCTTTTACTTTTAACAGTAATCAGAAAAATTGGCTTATAAAATACATTATTTAAATTACACAAATCAGCGTTTCTGTAATTTAAGCTATAAAATTTAAACATATTTGAATAAACTTAATATATTGCATAGAATACGAATAAGAACAGTTTCCCATAATGATGCGCGTTCCGAAGAATGTCAAACCCAAAATCACGCAGGAAATTACGCAAAAGAGATCTAAATGCGTTTTCAATCAAGATGGCGGAAGACGGGAATTTAGATGCTCTGAAGTGTAACATAAACAGACACTCTTCAGGCTTCATGTTTGGTTAATCTTACCCCATTATGTTTTAGTCAATGTTAATAAATACGAATGCTTGTAGTTGTAGGCCTTGAGCGCTCCGAAAATGTCTTCAGAAGCCATTCAAGATGCATTAAAAACATGCGCAACCAACCAATCTATGATAGATTTCACGTCCGTGCATTTGCAGGAACTGAGGACGCAGTGTGCCTCAACTGACAAAATTGTCCAAAATGAAATTAAGGATGCCGAGGCAAGTTTAAACGACAAAACGAAAACCCTTTCATAGTCTTTCTTTGTTCTTCGTTTTTTTTTATATAGGCCCTACCTGATCATGCACTAAATAAATAGAAGACTCCACCAGTACCAGTGCTGTCACTGTCTGCTGGACTCTGTATTGTAGGGAAATTCAAGTCTATTGTAAACTATTGTACTGTGGTCAAATAATAAAAAGTCAAATCTGCACCCTCATATTTAAATTTACCAAGTCTTAAATTGAAGTGCCAAAACAAGTTAATACACTACCCAGAAAAAAATGTACCCAGAAATATCTGTTAACTCCTCCTATACTGACCTCTAGATCTATACTAAAATTCTTTACTGTATACAAAATGTGTATAAAATTGTATCATCTTGGACATTCTTGGTTCTTACCTACTGAGCTGCACTGCAGATGGACATATAATAAATAGAAGACTCCAAAAGTGCTGTAGGCCTACTGTACTTATGTATTGTTACATGTACTCAGTGCTCAAATAGTAAAAAGTCAAATCAGCACCCTTATATTTACATTTTCCAAGTCCTAAACTGCAAGTGTCAAAACAAGTAAAAATCAGTATAGGGGCCTACACTACACACAAAAAATGTATCGAGACATATCTATATAGTAGTTTTTCTCACTAAATCTAGAATTTACGCAATTATCAATTTAAACATGACCACTGAATAATAGACATCCATATTTAATCCATTAGGCACTAATTTTGGAGTTTTTAGTTCGTTTTGAACTAAATTAGTTAATTTAATATTTATTGTCAATCACTACCATGTCCAACACATCTCTCCATGACAACTCTTCTTAAGCTTGAAGCTAAAGAAAACCACAAATCAGGTTAGACTCCATGCACAAGAGTTCCTCACTAGTGATCACCAAATAGCGGTCACGTGGTTTTTAAAAAATAAAAATAAATTGGTTGTGATACGGACGCCGGTCTTATAAAAAAACAGCTCACAATATTTGATTTCTTTTTTCATAGACTGATAAAACTAATAATGCTTTACGTTCTCGCTCATTTCTGTACCTACACTGTTGATATTTTTTAAATTCTATTAATTTTAATGAAACCAACTTTTGAATTTAGCCTCCGTTCTCCAAACCAAATTTTAAAATGCTTTTCTGGCATATCTAACCCTGCCACTTATGGTTTGTTGTTATGACACGGAAATCCCGCCATTTTGCGCGTGGTAAACATTTTTAAATGTAATTAGTTGAAGGTCTCTGGAATTTGGCCGAAAAATCACCGGAAATCAGACGTCCGGTCCGGGCGCCATATTGTTGTTAGCAACCGACCACGCATCCAAGTTAGAGAGAAATACTACTATATAGAGCTAAGCTATAAATGTTGTGTATAAAACTATCTTGGTCCTTAACTACCAGGTGGCACTGCAGATAGGACATATAATATAATAATTATTCTCAACACTGGTTTACTCTCTACTGACATTGCCCCCCCCCCCATTCTGGTAGGCCTATAGCCTTTTCAGTGTCAGCTTAATGACTAAAAAAAATGGTCTTGCTTTTAACCATCTTAACCAGCTACTGATATTTTTGCACCCTAGACTAAACCAGTTTAAAAGTAATAGTTTTTCTGAATTCTAAACCATATTATTATATAAATATCTATGGTTAAGAAAGTAGATGTAGTTGTCTGATATTTTGAATTATCATATGATGGTGCTTATGACTTACTTAAATAAAAATCACAGACTGTCAATTCAATTTATTATGATGCAAGGTCTGATTTTTCAGTTTTTTAATAATTACCTTTTGAACCTGAAATAAATATGCCAAAGAATTATCATTAGCAATGCTGATTATTTTATTTCTCAGTTTCAGGCTTAAAAGGAAAGTACTTTGGCCTACATTCTTATAAAAAAAACACTGAATATATCTATTGATAGCCCACAATGTGACATGAAAAATCATCTAGGACTTTCTTTAATTATAGCTGACTCCTTTAAGTTATTTCTCATGGTGGCATAAATTGATATGTAAACACTAATTTTATTCCCTCAGAGCAAGATAATACGCATGGTTGGAACACAGATTTTAGCCAAAAGGAAATTAAATCTTGATGTCATCCCAGAAAGTTTAAGGGATTATCCAAAGCTTGAGCTTTGGCTCAAGATTGTTGGGATTCCCAATGATGCAATCAAAGTAAGTAATGTTTTTTTAGGTAAATTTACTGTATTTCATATCCCTTTCCAGCATGTTCTCTATTCTGTTTTTGAAACATGTAAATTAAAGTAGACCTACGTAATGATTATTACTATTATTCTGTTTCTGAAAATTATACTATTTTATTAAATATATGATGAACATAAATTATTATTTAATTCATGCAACATGTATATCTCAAAATGTTTCAACCATTTCTAGGCCATTTTAAATGAAGGGCATAGCTTCTCAAACCTGATGGAGATGGACAATGAGACACTTACAGCATTGCTTAAAAAATATGATTGTTCTGAACTGGAAATAAAAACTCTTCTAACAGCTTTCACAAATTTGCTATCATGTACAGGTGATATTACTTGAAGTTTCATAGCAGTAATGTAGCATTGCTTTAAGAAATATGATTGTTCTTAAAAGTTGAAATCTTTCTTTCAGATTACACAAATTACATTTCTGTATGTTTGTTTGCTTTGGGAATTGAAATAGCAGTATTATTGACTTTGGGAACTGAAATAACAATATTATTGCTATAGACTATAATGATTTTCCACCCATTTATATGGTTTTAGTGAACAGGAAATATTTGTAATTAAAATAATATTACTAAAGTAAATGAAAAGAAACCTAGCTTATAATAAAATATGAAAATTTGTAACATATTTTTTATTAAAAAAAAACTCCACAGAAAAACAAATAGTTGGCCAGTCTATAACAGATCATGACTGGCATTTCACAGACCTTGCATGGTTACAGGCTGCTGCAGCTGCCTCCCGTTCCACCACCAATAGTCCTGCTGCTGGCAATTCACCCAAACACCAGCAACGGTCAGCCCCCTCGTATTCTGCAATATCTAATGAGCTGTTAACCATGAAGAATGAAGCATTTATCCAAAGAGGAGGAAAAGGACGGCCTCCGCCCCTTCACCCCAACATCTCAGACATACACCCTCCTAGAAGTACCCCCTCTTCTCCTATTCCTTCTCCGCATAATGGCTCTCCCCCACCCCACCGCTCAAAATCTGTCAGTAGTCCAGCTGTAAAATACCCCATAACCCCACCCCCAATGAAAAATTACATGCTGTTCCCTGATTCTGCATCTATAACAAAAAGCAAAAGTCATGAGTCACAGTTAGCCAACAAGGTAGTGGATATTGATCCAATCAAGTAAGTTGTCCTTTAGATTTTTAATTTATAATTTTTGTTACAGTTCATTGTATTGAAACTTGTGTAATTTCCCCATTTCATTTTGTAAGATGTATTTCAATTCATAACAACTTACTGCAGTAGAATATACTGTCAATTCTTTTATTCTACTTAACCCAGAGGCAACAAGAAGAATAAACCTTCAAGTATCAACATAAAATTAGGAGGCAGTCATGAGGTTTTGTTTAGCAGACGTCGTTTGTCAACTGATGGCTCAGAGGCCGGGAGCCGAGGGCCATCAGGTCATACATCCCCTGTTTGTTCCTCCCCAATCCGTTCCCCGCCTTACAAGCATGATCTGAGTGCTGTTTTGCTTGATGAACACAACAAGTACCCTAGTAAGCTTACATTAATTTCTTCTCTTTGCTATATTATATCTTAGTCATGGCACTAATTATTTTTCTACCTCATTTGTTTAATTGCTAAGTTAATGTTTCTTGAAAGTAAAAAAAAGTCATTAACATAGTAGCAGTGTGCCTGCTTGTGGTTTTAAGAATTAGTATTAGATACTTAAGATTCTATTTAATTATTGATTTCTGTACTCTGTACTGTGCATAAATTATTTATATTAATTGTATGCATTTGTATTTAGAAGTAAACAATTTTAATTTTAAAAAGAACCTTTAATAATCCATACTTTGACATTATAACATCTTTCTGTAGATATTTTATGCTTTCTTATGACCAATTCATTTAGTATTGGGAAGTAGGATTGTGTCAACATCCTCAACTTTGTATTATTTTAGTCATGACCTTAGAAACCATCACCTTATCCAATTAACAACCCCATGCCTGAAATCACATGTTTCACAATTTGAAACAGAAAATTGGTTGGAAGTTTTAAGGTTTTTCCTGGCATGCTTCTTGGCTTTGAAACATTTTAAAACCAAATTTGCTTGGTCTTATTTGGGTTGGAACAAACACATTTTGAAACCTTTCACCCACTTAGTTTTATCTACTGTTTGTAGAGTTTGTTTTTCAGTTATTCAACTTTTCATTCATTACTAACATATGAAAGACTTTAGAAATGTCATAGTTTATTTCAAGGGTATTATAAAATTTTGTAGAAATATTTCTAGTTTAATATGATTTACAGAGCATTTTATCATGCATCATTGTGATGTAAATATTTTATCTTTGAATTTTAAAGACATGCTGACAGTTCCCAAGTCTCCCAAAACTCCTAAAAAGATTATCCACCACCAGATATATCACAGGTACATTTTTATCTGTATACTTTTTGAATCCTAAAAATATTTGGTGAATTTTTATTTCATTGTTAGGTATGTGCAACATTTCAAAAGAATAATTGAAAAAATATTTGTTATAAAAGGATAGATACTGTCTTGTAGTGTTAAGACATAATTGTAAACAAATATATGTTAAATATATCTTTATCAGTAAAAAGGCTTAAGTACAGGTGTTCTGGTTAGAAAGTTATTATTTATTTTACTATGCTATGTTTATATACATACTGAACTACAACAAAACAAAAATATCTGACAAGCAAGCACTGCCATGACCTGTAGTTTTATGTCACTGTCAGATGTTTGTCTAAACAAAAACTTGTGTCCAGACTCTGGATACTAATGTCTGCTGTGACATAGCTAACCTACATTTGATTTTCAGGATTTAAAGAAGCTTTTTAAATGGGAACTATAGAAGGCTCATCTAATTAGGACATAGTTTTTGTGCCACATTTCAAAATAGATTTTTAAATTCAGGAAAAGTTAATTTAATTAAGAATGATTGGAACACTAAATTTAATTCTTAAAATTATTTTGTATTTTTATGTTTCTATCATCAGCATCATATTGCAAACTTATTAGTAGTATAAACACAATTTTACTGCTATTAAAGATGCTAACCTACAAAGTTTAATCACTATAAAAATAATTGCAGGCTGTAATTGGTCTCTGGGAATCATTTTGTGTTCTATTATAAACCTTTCTCATACATAACCATCTGTTTATGAAAGTACAGCATAAAGTCTACACCTTGATTTCCACAAGAGGTCCTTCTGCTTAAGTTGCAAGACAAAATGATCTTTCATAGGATTTAAAAGTTCTTCCAAACTTTGTTACTTTTTATTGTGTAAAAATAAAATTGGAACTTAATTTACACCAAGTTTAAACATGATTATAACGTATTTAATAAGTGCTGAAATAATATTGTCGTTATTAAATTTTTCTTTATATTCAAAATTAAATACAACTTAATTAATCTTTTCTTAATTAAGAAAAAGGAAAGAAATTAGTTTTAGACAGAATTAAGAAATCAACAATAATCAAAACTTCTACTTTTGAATTAGGAATGATTTTGTTTCTCTGATAGAAAATTGATTAATGAAAACCTGAATGTTACTTATAAAGGTTTGCAAACACGTTTAAGATCACCACTTGTGACTACTGCCACAAACAGATGATACTGGGCTACAAATGTAAAGACTGCAAGTAAGGGCTGGTGATCTCTGCATGCCACGGCTCCCTCTGTATCTGCACATCTATGCATATCTAGGCTAACTAGCTGTATGGCAGGGCTCAGTATATCCAATTGAGAACTACTGGTTGATTAACACTGCTGCCATTGTTACTTGGCATTAACTCTGAATGTTTTAGTCACTATTGTATCTAGCTAGCAATTGTTGATCAGTGAATGTTGTTACAAAAATCGCAATCAAAGTCCAATGGTTCTCAAATTCTTTTTTGTTGGAGTCACTTTAATTGCTTTTAATTTTGAAAAATCACAATATTTTTTCGGCTACTAATATTTCAAAATGGCGATTTAAACTTTTAATATTTTCTACATGGATAACCTTAATTGAGTACTTTTTTACATTAAAAAGCTATTGTTTTATGAGATTTTATTTCTTAGAAATTTTTTTTTTCATTTTGTTACCAAAAAATAAGGACTTTGATGCTATTTAACATCATAGGGTTTGACAGTAGAAAAGTATACTGATACAATGTGATTTCAAGCTTGGAGAGGCAGGAGCAGGAGCATTAACTGTAGCGTTTTCTCTCATGTTTCAGTTGTATGCTACAGCATCCAATATGATCTCACTTGAATGCTAGCTTCATTACCATCCTATGGCTCAACAAACTGCACTCATACTAAAAGTTTTAAAACCATTTTTTTTTTCCTTATAAGTTTACCACGAACCATTAAACAAATTTAAAGTATAAATTGAGTTGCAACTAGGTTGAGCCCTGGGATAGTCCTCTTAATCTCTGGTCTTAGGAGAATGGAATTATATATTGAGACAAAGCTACTGGCACGCTTATTGTTTGATATTGTATTTTCGTTGCCCCTCCACCTTCCCCCCACCTTTAGATTTACTTCTTCCATGTTTGTGCTTGCTCCTTGTGATGTCTGTATGACGTTTGCCATTCGTGGGAAAACATGTAAAAATTGCAAGTAAGTCAATTAATACTTAAAGAAATTCTTACTCTATAGTCAAATTTGAAAGCAAGTAAGTTAAGTTGTTAACAAGTAACTATATAGTCAAATTTGAAAGCAAGTAAGTTAAGTTGTTAACAAGTAACTATATAGTCAAATTTGAAAGCAAGTAAGTTAAGTTGTTAACAAGTAACTATATAGTCAAATTTGAAAGCAAGTAAGTTAAGTTGTTAACAAGTAACTCTATAGTCAAATTTGAAAGCAAGTAAGTTAAGTTGTTAACAAGTAACTATATAGTCAAATTTGAAAGCAAGTAAGTTAAGTTGTTAACAAGTAACTATATAGTCAAATTTGAAAGCAAGTAAGTTAAGTTGTTAACAAGTAACTATATAGTCAAATTTGAAAGCAAGTAAGTTAAGTTGTTAACAAGTAACTATATAGTCAAATTTGAAAGCAAGTAAGTTAAGTTGTTAACCAGTAAATTATGTCTGACTTCAGCTGCCGCATTGCTGTAGCTTTTTCTACAATTTTTACATAACAGCTTACAGATATAAAAATATATCAGAAATAGCAAGCAAAATTAACTAAAAATACAGATAATTGCATTAAAATATTATGCTTAGTACCTATTAATCAAGTAATCATTAATTTACTGCAAACTTGTTTACATTAATTACTAAACATAAATATATTCACCTGTAATCTAATTGTAACCCTGATGTGGAGCTTTAATTGCACTGACAGTTAAATGTTAATCGATGCCAAGCTCTTATTATTTCTGTTTATTAAATGCCTACTCAAATAAAAAAGAAAGAAATTGACCAATATAATATGAACAATGCAAATTAAAAACCACAATAAAAAAAACACTATTTCTCAACTGCCTATAGCTTCTGATCTTATTTATCAACAGCAACAAATGGTTTGTCTGTTGACACATTTTTGTTCACTGTTTTCTGATGTAACCCTATTTCACCCTTTACTGCAATTTATAAGTAGTAGTGCTTTAATTTCAGAATAAATGTAATGTTTACACATATAACACCAATTGTGCTTAAAGGTTAAATTGATAAAGTCATGATAATTATTGATCTAAAACATGTATAGTATTATTTAAGTAAGGTATAAAGATAATCGGATAATATATGCAATTAAGATATTTAGATGATACACAAAACATAGGATATTTTAAATGGTACATTAGACGCTGAACTGTATACTGGCTAAAGAAAGATTAAGGATAGAAAAGGTACTAAGCTGTTTGGATAATACATTAAGTTTTAAATAATTAATGACATTTGAAGATCGTATATTGAATGAATTAAATCTTACCAGTTTCTTATATTGTAAAGATAAACTCATTGTAGCTAAATAGGAAAATACTTTTGTGTTTTGTTAGAAAAAAATTCCACAAAGATTGTGCCCAGCGTGCCCCTCCTACCTGTGGTCTTTCAGATGCAACTGTTGATGCTCTGCTGGAATGGCAAGGCAAGTATTTCACGGCTCAGGTTACTCATACACTGACATTTCACACCCATGGTAGTTGTGCCAGCATTTCTTGTCTACATCTCCAATTCAAATGTTTCAGAATCTCCAATGTCCCAGCGTCGCTATCAAAATTCAAGTGTCTTCTATCCTGGTCATGCCAATGATTATGAGGGTCTGAAGCCAGTCCTATCCATGCCCAGCTTCCCCGGCGGCCCTGACTCTGGTTCTAACACATCGTCGTGCAACTCGTCGTCTCCATCTTCCCCGGCCTGCCACCAAACATCATCTGATACAATTACTTCTCCTTCCCCTGCACCATCCCCCTACAACCACAGAAAGTTCAAGTTTCCAGGTCATTATTTCATGCATTTATCTCACATCTCATCCTTAAGCTCTTTAGCCACTTGCAGAGCCTGTTTTACCAGCAAGAATATTTGTCACATAAAGCTAAACAGGCTGTTTTGCTTTCACCATAAAAATGGACCCAGCCTTACTATCTTACATCCACTGGTGCTTGCCCAACACCTAGTAGCATTTAGGAACTCTCCTACTAAGAGGGAGAAATTCCTAAAAATTGTTCTAATATAATAGACAGCAGGAAACATGACTTAAAAAGTGTAGGTGTTTAGTTGTGCTCATGGTTTATAATGTAGGTTGCACCTAAGACTGTCTCCCATGATTGTTCCCTCCCCCCACCCTCCACTCTGTGGGACTAGAAACAGGAGGCTGCTTCACAGCAGCACAAATAATATCCTAGATCTTTAACTAGCTGTATGGGAGTAAGTTAAAAAGGTCATTATGATCTAAGTGTTATTCTTTTTAAAACCTAGATGTAGATATTGCCTCAACTTTGCCAGCTGATTACAAGTCAACTGAAGGGAGAGACTCACCTGATAAGTGAGTTCAATAACTTGTTCATTGTACTTTATTTCATAGATTGATTTTTTCTTTTAGTGTAAAGTAGACTTTTTCCCATTAAACAAAATTTTGGATAACTATTTTGATAGGAGAAATTTAAAAACTCATTTGAATTTTTATTAACAATAGTATGTTCTTAAAATTGCTCATGCCACCTGTCAGTACCTTGTATGTGATAGATTTAGATGCCCTGTTTCAGGCACATCATTTTTTCTTCTATTTACTTTAGGTCATCTTTCATTTATTGATTTAGTGAAATTTGAAATTTTCTTTTTAAAATTTTCTTGTTAAACTTAAAGAAGCAATTCACACGAATTAAAAGTTGTTTAGTCATAAAAACCATGATAATCTATCATAACAAAATGTTTTTTTCTTTTTGTCCAGTGATGTTGTGAGTACCAACACATCTAATGATAGTGATAAAACATTAATTGATGTAAGTAAAATAATGTTTGTCTTACAAAGCTGTTGGCAGTAGCAGAATGAACAGTATTTGTAAGTTGATTGACTTTGGTAATTTATAAAATATTTTGTTGGTGTTTCAGAGTAACACATCCGAGCGCACGATGCCGGAAAGAAATAGTTCTGTTGACAGTCAGGATGATCCCTTCAGCTGGAACAGACAAAACAGTGTAAGTACTCATTGAAGAGATATGCCTTGTAGTATTGTGTACACTTTTATTGTAACATATAGTATTTAATCATGCCTTGATCTGTTTGTTTAGCTGGCGGCAACAATGAAAGAGTGGGATATTCCCTTTGCTGATCTCAAGTTTGGTGGAGTTATTGGTAAAGGAAGGATAGGCACTGTACATAAGTAAGAGACTGGTTTGTTATAATGGTTGTGGTCTGGGTGTACATATGCTAGTGCATGGACCTATGCATATAAAGGGACAGTGTACTCTGCAATGTATGACTGCTGAACTAAGTTTGTTGTGCCTAGGGGTGGTCAGAACTAAACTTAGGACATTTAGGTTAACTGTGGTGTTCTCTACAACTTTACATCTTATTTAATCCAGTGGTTATGTTTCTGAGCATTGATTTTTACAGTGCTGTTATTTTAAGTAGAGAAAAATGGTCATTATCCTTTCAATTGGCTCATACATTTTCTTAATTGTTTTACAGAGGTATCTGGCATGGGGATGTGGCTATTAAACTTCTGGATACTCCTGGTAGTGCAGATAATGAAGCACAGTTAGCAGCTTTTAAGTTGGAGGTGAGCTGAGCCAATATCTAATTCATTTCTAATTTGGTTGTGATGGCTGGGTATGAGTGGAAAAATGATTTTAAAGGTTATCAGTTTACAAATCCATGGACTAAAAACAAATGACATTTTAGCTTTTATCCTTAGTTTGAATAAGCTGTTTTTAAATAATGCATGCATTGAATTATTTTAATATTTTCTCATTTTAAATCGTCTATGTAAATCCTGTCATAAACTTTTAATAAAATTTAATTTGTTGCCTTTCCTCAGCTGGCTGTACTGAGGAAAACTCGTCATGAAAATTTAGTATTATTTATGGGTGCTTGTATGAAGCCCCCTAACTTAGCCATTGTTACCAGGCAAGTACACCTTACTTTTACATTTTATTTTGTTATTTACCATTTTATATGTTATTTACCATTTTATAAATGTAATTCAACATTTTATTTATGTTATTTTCTATAATGTATATGTTATTTACCATGTAAATTTGGATGGTGAAAACAGTCACAGCCATGGCTTACAATTTTCACTCTCAAAAGCATGTGCAATATTTATGCATAAAAAATACATTTAAAATGTAAAAAAAAAACGTATGTAACAATGTACAACTTGTATTTTTGTTGTCCAGTTTTTGTAAAGGTGAGACATTGTACACCATGATACACCTGAATAAGAACATCTTCAAGATTAACAAGGCCATTATAGTTGCATCACAGATAGCTCAGGTAGGGGATATTATGTCCTCAATCAATTGCATACTTAATAATTAACTAGTCCTCTATTTAATTGAATAGCCCTCATATTTCATTTATTAAAATAGTTCCTACTGCACTAGCCAAGTCAAAATTCTGAAATTTTGAATAGCAATAAATAAATATAAACTTAAAAAAAAAGGTGAACAATTCAATCAGGATGTTTCATCAAAGTGTATTTTTATTAAAACTTTTTTATTTTTAATTGCAGGGCATGAGTTACCTCCATGCAAGAAATATAGTACATAAAGATTTAAGAACAAAAAATATTTTTATGGACAGTGGCAAAGTTGTTATAACAGATTTTGGTCTGTTTCATGTGACCAAGCTGTGTAGAGGTTCCAAGTAAGTCACGGTCATTTCTTCACTGAATTGTTTTAAAAAAATTAACATGTAACAATTAATTTAACTAAATTAACAAACCAGTAGTGTTTAGAAATACATGTAGGCTCCTAGTTAAAAAAATTTCTCCACTGATTTCTTTTGTAGGAAAGATAATTGGCTAAGTGTACCTAAAGGCTGGTTATGTTACTTGGCACCTGAGATAATCCGCTCTCTAAAAGCCCTAAAGCAGACACAGTCTGATCTGCCTTTTACTAACAAGTCAGATTTGTATGCTTTTGGGTAAGTTGATATGCTTGTCGTATGTATCTGTTAAACCTGGTCATATGGACTGGTGTAGTGCATACTTTGTATACTGTAGTGTAATTCTGTAATATAATTTAATGCAGAGTAATCTTGTTCTGTTGTATACTGGTGTAATTTTGTACTGTAGTGTAATTTGGTATATTTTCTGGGAACAGGACATTTCCCCCCTGTCAATTACCCCCCCGGATATTTCCCCCCCCGACATTACCCCCCAGAGTAATTACCCCCCCTGTCAATTACCCCCCTGTCAATTACCCCCCCGCCCAGTAGGACATTACCCCCCCCCCCCGGACAGGGTTAGAGTTAGGGTTAGGGTTACGTTTTAGGGTTAGGGTTAGGGATAGGGTTAGGGTTAGGGTTAGGGTTACGTTTTAGGGTTAGGGTTAGGGTTAGGGATAGGGTTAGGGTTAGGGTTAGGGTTAAGGTTAGGGTTAGGGTTAGGGTTAGGGTTAGGGCTAGGGTTAGGGCTAGGGTTAGGGTTAGGGTTAGGGTTAGGGTTAGGGTTAGGGCTAGGGTTAGGGTTAAGATTAGGGCTAGGGTTAGGGTTAGGGTTAGGGATAGGGTTAGGGTTAGGGTTAGGGTTAGGGTTAAGGTTAGGGTTAGGGTTAGGGTTAGGGTTAGGGTTAGGGTTAGGGCTAGGGTTAGGGCTAGGGTTAGGGTTAGGGTTAGGGTTAGGGTTAGGGTTAGGGCTAGGGCTAGGGTTAGGGCTAGGGTTAGGGTTAAGATTAGGGCTAGGGTTAGGGTTAGGGTTAGGGTTAGGGCTAGGGCTAGGGTTAAGATTAGGGCTAGAGCTAGGGTTACGGTTAGGGCTAGAGCTAGGGTTACGGTTAGGGTTAGAGCTAGGGTTACGGTTAGGGTTAAAGCTAGTTTTAGGGTTAGGGTTGTGTCTAGCTTTGGTTTTGGTTTTGTGTGAAGATTTAGGCTAAGGTGGATGCTTAGGTTTTGGTATTTTTCTTAAGGTTTGGATTAAAGTAGTATATAGGGACAGTGGCGTAGCGAGGTCGGGTGTCACCCGGGGCGGCACTTAATAGTGTCACCCCCCCCCCCCCAGAGACATAGAGACCCTTCCAAGGGACAAACTTTCAAACTTTCGATTTGCCCCCCCCTCAAGTTTTCGATTTGCACACCCCCCCCTCAAACTTTCGATATGCACCCCCCTCGAGTTTTTCTTTATATATTTTGCTATTTTTTGCCTTGGTGTCACCCCCCTTAATGGTGTCACCCGGTGCGGTCCGCTGCCCCCGCCCCCCCCCCCCCCTCGCTACGCCCCTGTATAGGGATAAAATCCTAGTTAGAGTTAGGATTTTAACTTGAGAGGAGGGGGGTAATTCCCCAGGGGGGTAATTGACAGGGGGGTAATTGACAGGGGGGTAATTGCACCGGGGGGTAAATACGGGGGGGAAATGTCCGGGGGGGGAAATATCCAGGGGGGTAATGTCCTGTAGCCATATTTTCTACTATAGTATTGTTCTGTTATGCTGTTTTATGTAGTGTAAATTTGCATTTTGTAACTATTGTTTTCTGTAGATTAGTTCTGTTATTGTTTACTAACTGTATGTTGTGTGCTGTAGTGTAGTTTTAAAAAATTGTATACGACTGTCATGTTGTACTATTCTTGACATTCTAATATTGCAAACAGGACTGTTTGGTATGAACTGCTATGCAATGACTGGCCATTCCGCAGCCAGCCATGTGAAACTGTGATTTGGCAAGTGGGAAGGGGAATCAAGCAATCCCTGAGCACTGTCACTGCCCCTAAAGAAGTCAAGGTACTCAATTCTTCTTCTGTTATGTAGGACAATTAAAAAACATCATTTTACGAGAACTCTAAATTTTCCTTCTGTCTCCCCAGGAAATTCTAATGTCTTGTTGGGCATTCCATCCTTCAGATCGTCCTGATTTTGCCAGGATTGCCAAGGCTTTAAGCCTAATTCCCCAGACCCGACTTATCAGAAGCCCCTCACACCCGTGTCAGCTTAGTAGAGCCACAGACGCTCTCACCTACTCATGACCATTATTTACAGATAAACTTTGTGCATCCAAGTTTTTATAATTCAACTTTCTTGAAGAAAAAAAAAAGTTTCTTTTAACATATGCCAACAAAGCAAGTTACAAGCACACAAGTACTAACCATGTGTTTTATTTTATCATTGGTGCTGAATGTTCTAGTACTTTTAACATGGAGTCTTAGATGCTGACTGACTTTCTACAGTTTCTTTGAGATTCCCTGCGCTAAGATTTTTATGGTCTTCAAAAAGGACGAGTAATTTTAATCTATTTTATCATTCTGAAGGTAATTATTTGTAAAGGACTGATTTTTTTGATTCACTCAACTTGTATAGTGAGGTGACACATTGTAGTCAGCAATCAGAAGGAAATGATGCTCTGAACTCTCCCTCTTCTGAGTTATGCAAAGGTACATAAAATCAATAGGGCTGCTGCATTCTATCAGAGGCTTTGTTCCCAGCCACAGCACTTCCTGTTTGATTGTTGAATTTGTGCCACTCCAGCCCCAGATTGAAACAACTTGGCCAGTTTTGTTTGTTTGATTAATTTATTTCTTCTTTGAATGGGATGTGCTGATTCTGTGATGTTTCTTCTCATATCCTGGAAGCCTCTCCAGGAGACACAGTACTTAAAGTTGAACAAACAAATGAAAGACAATTGCTATCAAATGTGATGTATAATTTATAAACATAGACATTGGCTACTCCACAGACCTAGTATATGCATACCAAGTTTGTGTGAACTTTTTTCTATGCTAAACATATTTTGGGTCTTATAAAAGCGCTGGCAGGACTGTACATTTTATTCTATAGAGTCATATTAAGGTATTTCCTCGCTGGTATTACCATCTATTAGGTTTAGCTTTAGGGGTAGGGTATAGATGGGGTGAAACTAGTGATTGTAGCATTACAAAAAAAAGCCTTGAGTACATCCTGCTAGCGTTTTAATAATTACCCATATTCTTTCTTAGCCTAAGTGTTGTAAGCTTTGTGGTGCCTGTTGACATGCTTAGTGTGCAAGGGCAGGGTGGGAAATGGGGTTGTTTTTAAACTAAGTTACACCTGTGACATTGATTGCCTTTATTCTGTGCCAGGTTTTGTTTGTGTGTGTGTTTAAACTATTGAATTTTTTTTGTTGCCAGTTTGTGTAGCTGATTTTTGTGGATTATTTGCTTCTCTTTGCTCTGTCAGGCTGTGTTCAGGTTTCCTCTGGTTAATGGTTTAATGGGCCTCTGGCTAATTGCTTAAGGTGCCTCTGGCTTATGAGCCTCCGGCTAATAGTCTGAATAATGGTGCTTCATTTTACCAGCGGCTAAGTGCAAAGTGGTAGAAGTTTTAAAAAAAAATCATGGCACTAAATTAGTTTTTTTTTGTGCTGTTTATTTTAGTCATGAATTTCACACTGCTGCTAGTAGTTTGACATTCTTATGTTAGCTACAGTATTAATTTCTTATATTTGAGCTTGGGAGGGATTGTTTTCATCACTCACTCATTGATAGCTTAATTACCTGTTGCCATAGATAGTGTCCAATGTTCAGAATCATTTGAAGAACTATTGTTTGCCTGTACTCTGATATGTACTGTTGAGTTAAAGTGTGATCAGTAGGTTTTTTGGGCAAGAATTTTACCTTTCTGATACAGCCAGTGTCACCTAACAAAGTTAGTTAAATGTGGAAGAAAATAATTATTGTTCACTGTGCCAGATTTTTAAGGTTTGGGGGTTGTAAATTTTGATGATTTTATTGTAAGCATTTATGGTCAAATTGGCCACAACTTTAGTGAGCTGCATCTGAAGAGTGCAAGATCTGTTTTAAAGACAAATGTGCAAATATTGTTGTATATATCATGTTGATTTTTGTGTAAAAATCCTGTTGTATTAAAAAATGTCTGCCACTTTGCCATTTGATGATGGGGTAGCTTGTTATTAATGTGCAATTTGTCAATTTTTTTTTCCTTTTAAACCAAATCTTTCACATTGATGGATGTTTTACAATTTGCAATGCTCATTTTCTCCCACTGTCATCCTTATTCATTAAAGAGACCACAAGGATGAATACAGGATTGTCTTTCCTTTACACATTTTAAAAACAAACTTTTATCCAGTAGCATTTTAAATTTTAATTATTTGTCTCTTAATGAAGCTTCTGGAAATATTTTCATTTTAAGATAATTTAAGGCTAGGTTGGTGCCACATACTGGCTTTTAAAAATGTCTGTCAAATGTTGTGAGCTAGGCAGGAGGAACAAATTTGATGTAAGAAACACAACAGGAAGTAATATAAGGTTATTTATTGATGGACATTCACCAACTTGTACATCAAGTGATGATTATAATATTCTAACTACAAACCAATTACATAGTGTGACATTTGTACACATTCATTTTCACAATTGTCATTGATGCTACACACACACAAAAGCTTGAAAGTTCTGTAAATTAGTGTTCTTTTAAAAAAAAACAACCCATAAAGCTATGTTGTTCAAAATTGGTAAACAAATACAAAATCCCCTACAAAGTTACAAAAAAGCATAATATGCTATTTCAACCCAATGTTTTAGAAGTTAATTTACTGTTGAGTAACATTGAACAAAAAGACTGGCTTAATAAATAAATAAATTTCACAACTGAACCCTTGATATACACTGACTTTCTCTTTACTACACCTAAAAATAACTGAAATGAAATAATTAAAAACCATTTAAAACTATTAATTATTACTGAATGCCTTTAGTATCAGCATACCTGAATAGTTTTAAATTTAGTTAAAAAAAATTGCCAAACGGGCTGATTATTACCTGAATCTAAATGAGCAGTAAAATATGTGATAGACCACAACCAACTTATTTCCACACCTCACCAAATGCAGCATGCCTATTAGGTCAGGCAGTCAGCAGTCCACATGATCAGAAATTTATACACAAAGTCAAAATTTCAACAATAATATACATCTGAACTTTTACAAACAGTGTGCGGTTAGAAATTATTTTCTCGCACAAAATAGAAGTTACCTTATTGTTTAATAAATTGCAAGATAATCTTTATTTTAGATGTTTCTACCAGTAACAAAAAAAATATTTGCTTTTTAAAAATATTAAATTTTGAACATACAATCAAAATTATGATATAGAATGTATTTTTAAAAAAGCAAATATATAATATGTTACTTAGTCCAAATTGAACTCAGTAAGAAAAATTTGGACACTTTCAGAACAGCTCAGGTTTTAAAAGGTTTTGTTAAAAAAAAGTTCAAATAAAACTTACCAAAAAAACAGCTGCACTACTAATACTACTATACACTATTTTTTATTTTTATCTTGTTTAAGTTTTTTAAAAAGCAAAACAGAAATATTAACAGATATATACAGAACATGACATTTAATTGATTATTAAAAAGAAGAACATAGAATGTTAATAATATACTGTAAATACTGTTAAATTTGAAAAATTAAAATGTAAAATTTTAAATTGGTCACTACTGATCTTTTTTTTTTAAAAAAAAGAAATTTTTAAAAGTTATATGATATTTTTAAACAGCTGTTCACATTTGTGATACTGGTATAAAAATCCCACAAAGATTTGGTATATACTATTTCATGCAGCATTCAGTACTAGTGTACTAGATTGTAAACAGCTAAGCATGCAGATACTATTAACTGGTGGGTATGCTGATAAAAATAATCTGATCCAATTAAAATTTTAAAACCTGCCTACCATGGCAGTGATGTAATTAATGTGTTACCAGAACACACCAATCATGTCCTATACACACCAGCTAGACATGCATCATGAAAACATCAGAGGCACACCATTGATACACCAAACACACCATGCCATTGGTTGGCCAGTGACACCAGTAATATAACAAGAACACCAATGATGTGCCACTGACACCATTGATGCATCACTGAAACACCATTAATGTAAAAGAGACACTGAAACACCTTGATATATTAATGAAACATCATAAAAGGTACCTAAGACACACCACTGATGTACCACTGACACCAATGATGCACCACTGAACACCAATGATGCACAACTGACACACCAATGATGCACCACTAACACAGCAATGATGTACCACTAACACACCAATGATGTACCACTAACACACCAATGATGTACCACTGACACACCAATGATGCACCACTGATGTACCAATGATGTACCACTGACACACCAATGATGTACCACTGACACATCAATGATATTTCACTGACACACCAATAATGTATCACTGACACACCAATAATGTATCACTGACACACCAATGATGCACCACTAACACACCAATGATGTACCACTAACACACCAATGATGTATCACTGACACACCAATGATGCACCACTAACACACCAATGATGCACCACTGACACATCAATGATATTTCACTGACACACCAATAATGTATCACTGACACACCAATGATGCACCACTAACACACCAATGATGTACCACTAACACACCAATGATGTATCACTGACACACAAATGATGCACCACTAACACACCAATGATGCACAACTGACACATCAATGATATTTCACTGACACACCAATAATGTATCACTGACACACCAATGATGCACCACTAACACACCAATGATGTACCACTGACACACCAATGATGTACCACTGATACACCAATAATGTACCACTGACACACCAATGATGTACCACTGATACACCAATGATGCACCACTGACCAAACGTTCTACTGCTCTGTATGGCCCTGACTTGACTCCGACTGTTCTGAGAGCCGCGGCTTATGAAAATCTGACTCCGTAAAAGCTCCTTGACCCCTGTGTGTGACAAAGGGGTTGGGATCAGGGGTTTGTATAGGCCCAGCCATACGGGAGGAAGATTTCATGCCCTTTAATTTCATTCTTTCTTCTATCTGAAGTCTGTCATGTTCGGCTTGCTTCAACTTTTTTGCAGCGTCCTAGCAAAGATTTAAACAGTAAAAAAAAAATCAAGGCATGCAAGAAATTCTTCTACTAAGACATTCTCTAAAACTACTTTACTACAACTACATTTATCAATTTTTTATATTCAGAAATAGAATCTCTTATATTTTTTTAAATTTTAAATAGAATTCTAATATGCTGTAGTTATGAATAGAGTTGCTGTTAAAAACATGACTGAAATAAAAGTTACAGAATTGCAAAGGAAAACAATAAACATGCAGTAAGCAAATTTGGCATCCAATGTTGAAATCAAAGCTGTGTGACCGACCCATGCAGACTCAAAAAACAACTGAAAGATGCAACTAAAAATTGTAACCGGAAATGCAAGTGGATTAAAACAAATAAAAATTGGACGTTATGCAGACAAGATGCATATCAAGATCAAGGTACAATTCTGCTTTTTGATCAGTATAATTGAAAACATGAATGAGTTACTGATTAAACATATTATGTTTATACACTTTAATAATTTTGAACCTAACACAAATTGCTTTGGGTTTTGAATAAGAAAACAAAAACAAAGTTTTAGTTTTAAAAACAAAGAAGGTTAGCAATGATAAACCATTTACTTTCAGTGCTTACACATTTTTCAATACATTACAAGGAATGAAATACTCTAATCAAGTACAAAAGTAAATCAGCTTCAAATTTTGAAAGCAAAAGAATGAACTTAAGCACCAGCGTCAAGTAAAATGAAAATAATTTACTCTGCACTATTATTCTAATATTGAAATACATTTCATATATTTGAGTAAATTTATTTAAAAAAAAAAAAACAACCCTACATTAAACTGAAAAACACATGCTGATACCGGTCATTACTACATTATAGACTTAAAAACTGTTTGGAAATTATGGCAACTATTTTTAAATTTATGTAGCCTATTTTCAAATTCTTGAAAGGAAAGTAAATTTCCAAATACATAATGAATAATTTTTGAAGAGTCATGAATCTCTAATTTTTATAATGTCAAATTGTGAAGTATGAACTTTAAAAAATTAAAGTTTCATTTTAATAATTAAATGCACAAGCATGTATTTATGTTAGTTTCACATTTAGCAACAGTTATTGCACTTAAAAAACTACATGTATAATTTTTCAAGAAGTCAAATAATTTATTTTTAAAAGTTATTTTCCCCACCCCTAGACATTAACCAGCAAAAGATTGAAACAGATTTCTTTAGCAAACAATTTTAGGCTTCAGCAAGGGGAGAATACTGGATGTGATCATTGGGGTCAAGGTTAGGACAAGAAATTAGGACAAATGGATTTTTTTAATGATAAAAACCTTTCCATTTCAAGCTGCCTCAACTTTTCATTGGCCTCCTGGAGAACATGAAGAAAAGAAATGCAGGCAATGTGAATACATAGCTATAGAATTCATGGATATAGTGACATTGTAGTGAAAATACTGAAAATGAAGGATCACATTACACCTGACGTAAACAAGTTTCATTAATTGAAGAAAAGAATAACTTGAATTGTGAAATCATTTCAATATTATTTATTGCATTTTTAACAGCAATATTTTTGTTGGAATAACTATTACTTTAGTTTATGCTTTTGCTTAACTTCAGAGAATTTTTTTTTATATTAAAGCCAGCTAAGCTACATTTGTCATCTCAACCTAGCTTTTTATTTTAGAAGTCTTTATCTAAAACAAACAATAATTAGTTATGATATAACCTGATTTTCTTTAGGAATATTTAATTTTTTACTTCTAATAGTATTAAAAATAACAGCAATAAACAAGTAGGGCCTACAGATTTTGAAGTGGATAAAAAAATGGAAAAGATAATCACAGCAAACAACTGTAAAGTGTAGGTAAAAAAAAACAGTGTAACAATGCTAGAATAGAAGCTAGAGTGCTATATTCTGATTCAGGGGAGCTTACTATAGTTGCTAAACACAAGCTTAGAGTATATGACATGGTAAAAATAGATGTAAAAATAGGAGGCTTCTTAATGATGTAAATTTATACTTCAATTAGTAGATAAACTGTTAAATTATTGATTAAAATGATGACAGAGTGTTAACCAAACACAATATAACATGAGATAGGGGTTCCCAACCTTTACCCCCTCCTGTATCCCTATGTAATCTATTTTATTCATACCTCGGTACACCCCCACCCTTTGCACCATTCCTCTTCACAATCAAGTCTCTTTTTTTAAATTTAGGAATTTAAATTTTTTTTACAATTTTCTTTTTAACATTTGTTTTAAAATTAATTTCAAAACAAATTAAAATAATGTAAAACATCACTCAAAATAATGTTAATTTTATCTAAACAATGTTCTATTTAATTCTTTAGCCTTTTTTTTTAAAAAGCTAAAACGGTGTTTGAGTTTTTAAGCAAATCTAGTGGCTAAAGGATTTGTTCTTCATGTATGCATATAATGAAATAGTTTCAGCAACTTTGCTTTTTAAAAAGCATTAGATTTTCAACTCAATATGAAATCATAAAACAACACCAACAAAACAGCTCTTCCATATGAATTGTCTAGTTGACATTATAAACACTTGAAGTCAATTCAAACAACTCATACATTTCAGACAAGTATCTAGCAGAAATTGGCTGAACTGGTTAGCACCTTGACAGCAATATATTTTTCAAAGCAGAGATTTAGCTTGTAAGGGAGAAGGGGAGGCAACCACTCCTCCAATGCTTGTTTTGGGAGAGTGGTGCCCCTTTCCAGAGATTTGTTAATAAAAACTATAGGTCTAGGCTCAATTGATTACGTAAACATAATAGAATGAAATAGTGTTGCTTTATTATGCGCTCCTTACCCCCTTGCCCCTACCCAGAACTTTGGATATGCCCCTGGATGACATAAAAACATGTGATATGACTATTATTATGTGGGTCTAGTGAAATTATGTGCAGTATTCGTATACCTTTTTTTCCTTGTTTTAAAATTTACATATTGAATTTAAACAATATGGTCAATTTATAATCTCAAGTTTTTATTTCATTATTTTATCTTTTCAACTTTTCAGCCAAGTGTTACCAGTGTTATGTTCAAACATAATTATCTGGTCAGCTTATTCATTAGATTTGTATACCACAAACTTAAGAACCACATCTTAGAGTCCAGGAAACAGTATCATTGAATCAGCAATATGATAAAACTATTATAGAACTTTTGTTGTACAGAGGCTTGCTAAATATAGTCAGACATTTATTTGGAGTTAAATAACTTACATTTGTAAGATTAAAATTCTTTTTTAATTAAACAGTAATTACATAAGTAAGTAGCATGACTTAGAGTTGTCCATAAATGACATCACACTAGTAGAGGGAGGGGGGGGTCCGTAATTTTGTGATGGTGTGTGATGAGGGGGAGGGGGTTCAGATAGTGGGGATGTCAGAATTTTGCATTATAAAAAAGCAATGTTAGAAAATGAATTTTTGCAATTATTTCACGTTTTAGAAAACTTTTAATAAATTGTAATAGAAATTGCTTAAAATACTCTATGTTGACAGAGTTCTGACAAGATTTTGGAAAAATATCATATTTTAAGAAAAATTCAACTGCAATTTTGAGGGGGGGGGGGGGGGGGTTGCAGGCTGAGGTGTGACGTCATTTTTGGGACAATGTGTAATGCCGGGCAGGGGGGAGGTAAAAATCGTCAAAAAAAGCATGGCGTCATTTATGGATGACCCCTTATACTTCTTTGAGTAGCAATGATACAAAAATACTTAAAGCCTGTGATGATTACATAGGTTATTTAAATGAGTTAAGTTTCCACTTATTGCTTTATTTAGCTGCATAAAATTAGAACCCCTAATTGAATCAAGGAGTCTTAGTTTACAATAACTGTCTTTGTGGTAACAGCACAAGAATTTGGGACTTTTGTCTGGGTGTGTTGGAGATTTTTACTGATCAGAACCCTAATTTAAGCTAATCCGCAACCCCAATCTTAAAGATAGACTATAGGGATAAAAAATTTTTTTAAATAAAATTCTTTGTTAAATGTAATTAAGGTTAAATTACATTAACAAACAATTTTTTTTCTTGACTTAGCATTGCCTTGCTGACACAAACTATTCAGTAACAAGACAATTAAAACTTTAAATTATTTTTTTACCTTTAGCTGCTGGTCGGCTAGCTCTCTGTCCCGTGTTAAGGCCTCAAGCTGTTCTCTAGCAAGTCTCAGGGCTTCCTCCTTCTGTTGGTGGGCGGCCTCCAGCTCCTGCCTGCTCAGCTGTTCTCTCAACAGCTTCTTGTTCTGTTCTGCTTGAAGCCTCTCTAGCTCTTCCCTTTTTGCATATTCCTCTTCTAAAATCCTGTCAACAAGTAAACATAGCTCATGTTTATCATATGTCCCGCAGTGAATATTGTAGGTAGGGGGGTGGGGGGGTGGGTGGTGGTGGTGGTTTATAACACAAAATGACAACTGTGGCATGACAAAAAAAATCACTTTTACCAATAATTATAAACAAATTTAATAGGGATAAATATAAAAATATTTGCTTAAAAATGAATAAAATAGAAGAGTTAAATAAGATGAAATTATTTTTATTTTTTGGTGTGCAAGTGAATCACATACTTAGCTTGAAGATTCCTGACAATTTCCTCGTCTCGCTTGAGTGCCCTCTCTTCCTCCACCAGCGCCTCCAGTGAGGCTTTGGCCTCCTCAAGTTCTCTCAACCTCCTCCTCTCCTCCTCCAGCTCTGCCTCCTCCTCTCTGAGCCTGGCCTCCACTAGCGCCCTCTGCTCTCTCTCTGCCTCCAATGCCTCCGTGCTGCTCTTGATGAAAGCCTCCCTCTCTGCCTGAAGCCTCATTTCTGTTTCAGCACACCTAAGGTAACACAAAAAGTTATCATCTCTGTTTCAGCACACCTAAGGTAACACAAAAAGTTATCATCTCTGTTTCAGCACACCTAAGGTAACACAAAAAGTTATCATCTCTGTTTCAGCACACCTATGGTAACACAAAAAGTTATCATCTCTGTTTCAGCACATCTAAGGTGACACAAAAAGTTATCATCTCTGTTTCAGCACATCTAAGGTGACACAAAAAGTTATCATCTCTGTTTCAGCACACCTAAGGTAACACAAAAAGTTATCATCTCTGTTTCAGCACACCTAAGGTAACACAAAAAGTTATCATCTCTGTTTCAGCACATCTAAGGTGACACAAAAAGTTATCATCTCTGTTTCAGCACACCTAAGGCGACACAAAAAGTTATTTATAACTGCGGCTTCCAAACATTTTGTACTGCACCACCCTTGGGAAATATCTTTGTGGTTTAACGACCCACACCACACTTTTACTAACTCTAAGAGTCAGCTGGCTTGATTTTGTGACAGAAAACATGATAGAAATATTTTTTTTTAATTTTCAAAATTCTGTATGTCGAAATACCAGTAAATTTAGCAGTAGTTTTTATGTAATTTCACCATACAAAATTTTGAAATTTCAAAAAAAAAAATTCCTATTACTAGGCATACTTTCTAACTTTGCCTAAAATCCTACCCTTTACATAGGCTGTGTATAATTTAACCAATACTAAATTTTGCACCATTGCTAATTTAATACTAACATTTGAAATGTAAAATTAATATTTTAATCGCTTCTTCTTCGTTCTTAATTTTAATGTTGGAAGGGATCTCCTCCAACACAATTAAGTATACGTGTCAACTGGTTATGTGCCACTGAGGCAATTGACTCAGATTTCAGCCTGCTTTTCTTTTTGGATTTGCTTCCATAGCCTTTGTCCAATTAAGAACAAACTACAAGGCAGCAGTTGTTTGATTTTGGAGTTGTCTCTCCTAGAAGAGTGGCTGTCCCGAGCTAACAAGTGTCCTCTACCCAAGGGTTCGAACTCGAGACTTTACAGTTCAGCAACCATGAGCTTTACCAACTCGACCACACCTAACCCTAGTTTAATCACTAATAACCAAAAGATTTGCTTCTTACTCTTATTCAGATTATTTTAATATCACTTTATGCTTTTGTAGGACAAACAGTAAAAATTAAATTAATTCTTAAAAAACTGAAAATAAATTGAGCACCTCCTTTTTTCATCTTCAATCTCCTTTGCTTTTTTCTCCAGCAGTTCTTTGGTTTCCTGACGTCTCCTTTCTTCTTCTTCTGCTCTTTTCCTACGCTCTAGTTCCAGCAACCTCTCGCGTTCTTTTATTTCTTCCTGAGCCAACAGTCTTTGCTGAAATGGTGAGTTATTCAAATGGATAGTTAATAAATATAGTGAAACAATAATATAATGTTTAAATAAGTGAGTAAGACATTCACACATAGAAAGTTTTTAATAAACACATAGCAAAATGGCACTTTTTAACACTGCAGAGTCTTTTTCAGCCACTGTGTTCAAACAGTTACGTCATCGTTTTATCAAATTAACAAAAATAAAAAAAATGACTGCATAGTATAAATGGACTTACAACACACAAAGAACTTTGCATCTTAAATTTAAAAACAAAATTTCTGCACGTAGAAATCATACAACCAGACCAAGAATGAAATGTCTGCGCTAATTTAAGCCTGACACTAACCTCAAAGAGAAGAAGAAAAAAAAAACATACCTTTCTCTCCTCCTCCAGTTGTCTCTCCCTCTCCAAAAGTTTCTCCCTCTCTGCACACCGGTTCAACTCTTCCTCCGCTGTCCTCCGCCTCCTTTCCTCTCTCTCTTTTTTTCTTTCTTTAAAGGCCAGTAACTGTAAACTGTCTTTTGTTTTTCCAATACTAATCACAACAGTTTTTAGGTCTGCAGAAAAGGGGGACAATCACACTTAACTCACAACTATATCATTATTCATTCTATTAGAAATACATTTTTGTGACAAGCAATTAATTATTTTAAAAAAAATAAACTTTTAAAATAGGTTTCAGTTATTTAATTTGCATTAACTGTAAGCAAACTACCCATTTAAACCTTACAGTCCAAGGGACAATTGAAGTAGAGTTTCCCTAATGTGAGTCAGGTACCCATCAGAGCTGGGATAACTCAGTGACATTTCTAGGGGCTCGAGCCCGAGACTATCAAATTATCAATCAAACACTCTACCATTTGACCACACCATAGCATGCATGGACAGTGGCCTTTAGAATTTCCTTAAAAAACTGATTCTTTCTTTTTACTATTATTTCTGTAAAAAAATAGTTACTCTACTACTCCAGTTTTATAAACTGTTTATACAACAAATGTTAAAAATAAACTTGTATAAAAAAAAAACCAACCTGACATCCACTCATTCTTAGCTTTTAAGTCAGGGGCAGATAACTCATATTGTTTTCCTGGAGTGTGGAGTTTAAACCGATGGTGCTTTCCTCCTGGTTTATCCGGAAAACTCTGAAAAAAAACAACAATCAATTAGGAAATTAAAATTCCATGAATGTTTTCAAAAATAATATTAGATTATAATTTAAAGTAATAGATACAACAAATTATTCATAACTGTTCAATGGGTATTTAGATTTAAAAAATTAGAATTAAAAATATAATAATTATTCCCAAAATTAATTTCCAAACAGTGAAAATGCAAACTGTAATAAAAGAAATAACTCAAACAAAACAAAATCAAAGAATATATGAGTAAAATGTTTTAGCTGGTGAGCAAGGTATGCACACCTGAGGTGTGCAAGGTAAGCTCACCTGAGGTGTGCAAGGTAAGCTCACCTGAGGTGTGCAAGGTAAGCTCACCTGAGGTGTGCACGGTAAGCTCACCTGAGGTGTGCACGGTAAGCTCACCTGAGGTGTGCACGGTAAGCTCACCTGAGGTGTGCACGGTAAGCTCACCTGAGGTGTGCACGGTAAGCTCACCTGAGGTGTGCACGGTAAGCTCACCTGAGGTGTGCACGGTAAGCTCACCTGAGGTGTGCAAGGTAAGCTCACCTGAGTGAAGCACTCGGCACACAAACTGATGCTGCCCCTGAGATCCTTCTCCTCACTGTTGGAGTAGTACTTGAGCTCCGTGGCTGTCAGCACAAACCATCTCTCCTTCCACGCGGTCACCTTGTTGCCAAACTTCACCATGTTGCCCTGGAATAAGTCAACAGTTGATGTATGGGGGGAAATTGTTAAGTAGTTGACATCAACTTCATCAAGAGGAAGTTGTTTATATCAACTTTATCAAGAGGAAATAGTTAATATCAACTGTTCATAGCTGACCTACTCCCAACATCAACTGTGCATAGCTGACCTACTCCCAACATCAACTGTCCATAGCTGACCTACTCCCAACATCAACTGTGCATAGCTGACCTACTCCCAACATCAACTGTCCATAGCTGACCTACTCCCAACATCAACTGTCCATAGCTGACCTACTCCCAACATCAACTGTGCATAGCTGACCTACTCCCAACATCAACTGTGCATAGCTGACCTACTCCCAACATCAACTGTGCATAGCTGACCTACTCCCAACATCATCTGTCCATAGCTGACCTACTCTTAACATCATCTGTCCATAGCTGACCTACTCCCAACATCAACTGTCCATAGCTGACCTACTGACAACTACACACTACATGTGTGTGTTATACTGGCAAGTTTGACCCCACACACTTAGATTTACAATTCAAGCACATATGGTTTTGACAAATTCAACAAAAAATTAAATGTTAAGTGTCATTTTCATTCAGAATAAAAAAGAGATGTAAAAAAAAAAAACCAAACCTTTCGAACGATGTCATAGAGAATTTTGTTGTAATTTTCTTCTATTCCATGACTGATGACATTTGGCTCAGCATTGTTGCCAATTTTTCTGGCAATGACGCTGACAAAATCAGTGAAATCCAAGAGAAAAGACTGCTGTAATATGTCAACTGACCCTCGGCGTTGAGTGTTAGGGTTCACTTTGGGTGGGGGCAGACCGACAGCTTGGCAAATTTCTGCAGCTATCCTTTCTGCTTCTTCAACGTCTGCTCTTAATGGCAATAAGAGGCTGCCGTCTGCTGCTCTTTCCACCAAGAAATTAAAAATCTGGAGTAGAATATAACAAAACAACTTTGCACATTTTTTCTCTGGATTTTCTGATTTATTAATTTATTCATCAAACTTGTTTATTTATTAGTATTGATATGTTAATTTTATCATTTTAGAAAAAAAAATTAGTGATAGCAGAAAAAAAAAGATTTGTAATTTTTTTCGCAGCAGTTAAATGAGATAGCTATCAGTTGGAGATAATTATCTTTTCCTTGAATAGCCCTTCAGGCTGGTATGAGATATCACAATTAAAATCTGAGTTGCTGTAATTATCAACTTGCACAGAAGTCACTTCTATAAATGACTTTATGTGACTTCAAGCGGGCGAAACATGACTGGTTAAATCCATGGTATCATTACAACACACACAGATTGACTGAGGTAAAAACTTGAGTCTACCCAGATAAAAAGTGGGGCCATTGTGAGGCTCATGTAACAAGTTATGTTTATTGTCTAGCCTGTCAGTATAAGAACAATTGTAGCAAATGTTACATTCTTTTGAGACAGTTCTGAGAGAAAAAAACAACTGATTTTTTTGTTGTTAGGTGTAAGGTTAGGGTAATAGTATGGGGGGGGGGGGGGTTAACAGGGCTTCTTTTAACTTTTTTTTTCTCCTAAAGGTGCAAGGGGGAGGGGGGGGAGGGAGAGACAACACTTGAAATTGCTAGGCTGGGTGCAAACTTAAAATATTTGGCAAACAGGGGCTCAAGGAGTGGGGCATACATTTGTATATATTTTGTATATAAATTACATATTTTTAATTTAGTGGTGGGGGGAGGGAAAGAAGATGCGCCTCCACAAAGAGATGCTTAAAAAACAACAATGCTGTAATCACCAAAGTTAAATCAAGCATATGGATCTATGACAAGCTTCAGGATCTATGACAAACATAAGGATCTATCATCATCTATGACAATTATTAGGATCTATGACAATAATTAGCATGTATGACAAACGTAAGGATCTATGACAACACCATCAACTGCATGTTATCTCCAACTTCTCGGAAAACATCTGTCAACACCTTTCTGACACTTACAGGGTGTGGTGGGGGGGGGGGGGGGGGGGGGGGGGGAAGGGGAAACCAAGTCAAGAGCTGTCCTCAACAAACACAAATAATGGAGGCGCTTGTGATAACAAAGTGACTAAGGCTAGAAAAATTGTGCTTTGGTGCCTTAATCTACATTAATCTTCCCTTTCACAAGAAAAATTATGCAATGATTCCTAAATTTCGATTAATGTACCCCTTCTCAAAAAAAATTGTGCAATGGTTCCTAAATATAACTGTATAATCTACCTTCCATAACTTAAAAAGTTCATAGAAAAAGTATATCAGGAGCATAATTGCATCATTTACCTTCCATAACTTAAAAAGTTCACTAAAAAAGTATATAAAGAGCATACATAATTGCATCATTTACCTTCCATAACTTAAAAAGATCATTAAAAAGTATATAAAGAGCATAATTGCATTATTTACATTCGATAACTAAAAAAGATCATTAAAAAAGTATATAAAGAGCAAACATAATTGCATCATTTACCTTCCATAACTTAAAAAGATCGTCATTAGAGAAGACCGTGGGTGTTATCATCTCCTCCAGGCTGCCAGCTACCACGTACACCCCCTCCTCTGTATTCCCATTCTCCTTGCCGCTGCCTATCTCATCCCCGTTCTCCTTACTGGGGCTGTGCACCCCATTGGGGCATCGGATCCTCTGTTTGTACACGTTTTCACACAACACCCAGCACAAGAATTCTATTTTACTCAGTAACGTAATTGTTTTTGGGTCCACGACCCTGTCGAAGCCGACCAGGAGATTTTTATTCAGGACTGTCATGAAGTGCTCAAAGTCTATGCTGTCTTCTGGAACTTTCTCCCAGATTGTCTCGGCTTTCTCTACACCCAATTCATGGCCCAGGTTATTTGTCAGCACCTGCATTGGTGGTTTAATTTAAAAAATTAACAAGAAACCAAAATATTAATGTTTTATTTTTTACAGTTTTTTTTAACTACATGGCTATTAAAATTGTCAAGTGTTTATATTTGTTAAAAAAAAAATTATTTTGGTTACATAAATTGATATTAATTTGATTTTTTTTTTAATAGCAAAAGCTGTGTAATTTTCTTATAAGTAATGTTCAATTTCAGTGGCGTAGCCAGGATCGTCTCAAGGGGGGGGTTCCAATTTTTACCCGGGGACAAACTTTCGATTTGCACCCCCCCCCCCCTCAAACTTTCGATTTGCACCCCCCCCCTCAAACTTTCGATTTGCACCCCCCCCTCAAACTTTCGATTTGCACCCCCCCCCCTCAAACTTTCGATTTGCACCCCCCCCTCAAACTTTCGATTTGCACCCCCCCCCCCCCCTCAAACTTTCGATTTGCACCCCCCCCCTCAAACTTTCGATTTGCACCCCCCCTCATACTTTTTATATATACCGAGGGGTCTATGGGGGGGATTATGACCCCCCCTAACCCCCCCCTGCCTACGCCACTGTTCAATTTAATATAAATCATGAGGCATGTTGATTTAAGTGGATAATTATTACATAGTATTTTTTAAACTAAAAATGTATATTTCTTTATAGCAGAGGCTTAGCCGGGGGCGGGGAGTACATATGTCCCCAAGCATCGACCTTAAGGAGCGCCAAAATGGGTTGGAAAAAAGTAAAAGCTCATTTTAGTTGCAGTTTTGCATTATAAGTTTGTCCCTGGGCAAATTTGTAACATTAAAAGGCTTTAAAATATTAGTTACCTTCAATTTTGTTTTCTGCACCTGTGCGGTCCTAGTTTTTACAAGCTGTGAGGTTGTGTCAAGGACATCAAAAGCATGCCACAGAGTTTTTTTCATTTCCTCCATGGTTACTGTAAACAATATCAGAACAAATGTTGTGGACTGTAGTGTACAGCTTGTGAGGTTACTCACTACATGTGGGGGTAATGATGACATGACAGGCTAATGACATGACAGGCTAATGATGACATGAGAGGCTAATGATGATATGAGAGGCTAATGACAGCATGAGGCTAATGACAACATGAGAGGCTAAAGATGACATGACAGGCTAATGACAACATGACAGGGTAATGACAGCATGAGAGACTAATAATGACATGAGAGACTAATGACAACAAATGAGGCTAATGATCTCATTAGAGGGTAAAGACAACATGAGAGGCTATTCTCTAAATGCGAGGCTACTCCTCACAACAAGTGCGACTACTCGGGAGAAACTATCTGAAATCTATCTGAAATAGTACTCAAGTTATAGGCTTTTGAAAAATTCAAAGTAGAAAAAGTACCACTTCCGGTTATCGGAAATCGCTCAAAAGTTGATACGGATCTACGATTTTGATAAAATACTTATATATGAAATTTCATCAACCTAGCTGTAACGGTACTCAAGTAATCGTGTTTACACACACACACAGACACACACACACACAGACACACAGACGTACGGACAAGATTGCAGTTGAATTTTTTTTTAAACATCGATATTTTTTTCAAAATCTTGTCTGAACTCTGTCAGAGTATTTTAATCAAATCCCATTACAATTTATTAAAACAGTTTTCTAAAACGCGAAATAACGTCTAAAATTCGTTTTCTAACATTAATTTTTTTCTATTGCAAAAGTGTGACGTCGCACCATATGAACCCCCCCCCCCCCCCCTCATCAAACACCGTCACAAAATTACCGACCCCCCTCTCCCCTACGAGTGTGACGTAATTTATGGACGACCCCCAACACTAATTATCTGGTCCATTAGCCGACTGTGACGATATCATAATTTTATGTCTTTAAAATTTGTATGGTTTAAAATTGAACTTCAAATCTGTCTTGTGGAAATTGGCATGATCTGACACACCACACCACACCCCTACCCACACACACCACACACACACACCCTACCCACACACACCACACACACACCCCTACCCACACACACCACACCACAACACCCTACCCACACACACCACACCACACACACCCTACCCACACACACCACACCACACACACCCTACCCACACACACCACACCACACACACCCTACCCACACCACCACACCACACCACACACCCTACCCACACACACCACACCACACACACCTACCCACACACACCACACCACACACACCCTACCCACACACACCCCTACCCACACACACCCACCACACACACCTACCACACACACCACCACACACACCCTACCCACACACACCACACCACACACACCCTACCCACACACACCACACCACACACCACCCTACCCACACACACCCACACCACACACACCCTACCCACACACACCACACCACACACACCCTACCCACACACACCACACCACACACACCCTACCCACACACCAGCACGTACACATTTACCAGACACGTCCAATTTGATAATAAATCCTCTCCGTCAACCCAGGACCACCCCGGTGATAAATAATACCTTCATGTTGTAAATGACCAACTTCCTTCATTCCAGGCCTCTACCTCCGTCACACTAGACAAGTTAAAAAAAAAAAACTAACGCTGTTATCTAACAGGGGGTGTTTGAAACAGTTCGTTATAGAGCACACAGGCTGTAGTAACAGTCAACGA